GGTAGCACAGAAGGAAATGGAATATTTGGCCACCGTGCCGTTCTTCCACAGACAGTTTGTCTCATTTGGTGAAGGACGGACCACGCTTCAGTGAACAGAGTGCAGATTTTGGAATCAGGTCAAACTAACTTTATATCTGACTATTTTTTTTTGTGTGTGTGTGCTGGGGACTGAACCCAGGGGTGCTTGACCACTGAGCCTCCTCCTCAGCCCTTTTTTATTTTAAATTTTGAGACAAGGTCTTGTTAAGTTGCTTAGAGTCTTGCCAAGTTGCTGAGGCTGGTTTTGAACTTGCAATCCTCCTGCCTCAGCCTCCTGAGTCGCTGGGACGTGTAACTGCTGTGCCCAGCTTTAAATCTGACTCGAAATGAGACATGTAATTTTGGCCTCATCACCTGAACATCTTTTAGCTTCAGTTTTTCAAACACAAAATGAGAACAGTGCCACCTATTCCAGGGACTGAGGGTGAGGATGAAGGTGATGTGAGGTCCCATCTCTGACATGCCTACTAGGTTGAAACTTGTTTGTAGGTTGGTGGGTTGGAATTCAGAAGGTGTTTTCACAGAGGAATCCTCTTGCAACTGATGGTCATATCCCCATCCGGTGCAAACCCTAAAATCTCTGTTACTAAGCTCATTTCACCCTGAATTCTAGTATGCATTAGTCATTGACATATTAATTAGTTATTGACAGTTTAATATGCAATAAGATATTTGCATTTTCACTGGAAGACATTATTCATTATTTGGGTCCATTGGGGTGGTTTCACAAGTCCTCTTCAGGTATGTGCAGTTTATCATGTAATACCAACCATGTCCTTCAATCGCGCTTTAGAAAAATTCACTTCCCCATCGACCCAGCAATCCAAGTTCTCAGACTCGATACTATAAAAATGAAAGCTCAAGGACATTCAGGGTTCAGCAAACTTCCTGTAAAGGGCACCAGGGATTACTCAGGGGCACTCAACCACTGAGCCACATCCCCAGCCCTATTTTGTATTTTATTTAGAGTCAAGGTCTCACTGAGTTGCTTAGCACCTCACCAGTGCTTGGAACTCATGATCCTCCTGCCTCAGCCTCCCGAGCTGCTGGGATTACAGGTGTGTGCTACTGCGCCCAGCTCCATTATTTGACTTCTTCAATCACCCCTAGTGTTGAGATGCTTGTGAAAATTTTAAAAGCCCTAATAAGAAATTTTAAAAATATTTCTTTAGTGAATGGAATGAATGCTCTAGTCCAGTCCTTGACATCCCCATAAAGGGCAACTGAGTGAGAACTCAAAACTCAAGCTTCAGGAGGTGGGAACATTCCCTGAATCGTCCACACAGGGATCCCAGCTCTGTGCACCTGGGCACGTGGCACAGGAGTCACTAGGCACCTGCGTGTACCTTGTATGTGCACATGTGTGTGCCAGGGCCCCTCTACAGGGACACACTCATGTTCCCACCTGCCTCTGCCCCAGGTGTGCTGGGTACCTGCTGGGTCTTCCACAGCCTCTCCTGAGGGCCACTCAGGCACTGGAAGAGACACAGACAGTCCTCCTGGGTACTCGAATGGACCCCTCTGTCCCCTGGGTCCAACCAGAAAGCCTCCTCAACCTCTTACCCCCTGGTATTCAGCCTCCTCTAGAAGGATCCAGGGTCCCCTTGCCATTCCCACTTTATTCACCTGGTGGTGCCGGGATGGAACCCCGGGCCTTGGACATGCTAGGCCAGCGCTCTGCCATTGATCTACGCCCCAGAGGACATTCTTCTCTCACAACAAACATTGATGGGTGCCTACCCCAGGCTGGGTGCCAGGACGAAAGGGCACAGCACCGTCCTCTACCTGCGGAAGCCCCTCCCCCCCCAGGCTCTTGGGGACAGGCACAGGTGTCACATGTTGGGTGAGGGCAGGGCTGGTCCTGGAGGAGGGGCTGCAGGGCTGAGTTGGGGGAAGAGGGAGAGGCTAACCCTGGAGGGAGTGGCGTGTGTCCAGTGGGCAGGGAGTGGTGGCCACCATCCGGGAGGATGTGGAAGAGGGTCTCTGGGGGCCAGGGCTGGGAACACAAGTCAGGAGGATGCCCCTTCCCCAGCCCTGGCCCCCAAGAAAAGCGGCCGTTCCCAGGGAGGAGGAGCTGGGCGGGACTCCATTCCACCTCGCCATCGCCATCGCAGGCCCCTTGCCCAGCGAGCAGGAGTGGGGATGGGTACTGACGCTGACCTCCCTCTCCCATCTCCCCAGTCCTCCTCATAGTCTCCCTTTCAGTGAGAGCCTCGGGTATTGTTCCATTTTTGTAAAGACGGGGATCAAGTGACAAAGCCCGGTGGGTGGGCAGGCGGCCCAAGAGGCCTCTTCTCTCCCGGGCAGCATCTGCATGGGGGCGGGGCTGTTCCACCCCCCACCTCTGGCTTCCCAGGAGCTGGCTGTTGCCATGGTGACAGGCCTGGCATCCACAGCCCCTGGGGCGCCCTCCCCACCATGGCTGCCAGAGGAAGGGCCCCCAACTCCTCTTCACCCTGGAGGGGGCCGGGACACACAAAACATGGCTGATATAGGCCCCTGCGGCAGGTCCCCAGCAGCCCGAGCCTCCTAGTCCGGCTGCCAGCAGAGGGGCAGTTCCAGAACCCCCACAAAGACACCGTGAGAGTGGCCGGGTGGGGCTCAAGGAGCAGAGCTGGACCTCCCTTCACTACCATCCAGGTCCTACGCCTCTCCGGGCCAGTTAGAGGGAAATGACAGGTTCCCAGGTCCCTGGCACAGCCCCTGGTTTCATGGCAGAGTGAGGGGTGGGTGGAGGGCTCACAGTGTTCTGGGACAAGGCGGGTGGCAAGGACCCTGGGGCCCAAGGCAAATCTGCAGCCCCATCCAGAAGAGATAGGGGTGCCCCAGGAGGTGGTGGTGTGCCAGACAGCAGGAGAGGGAGGGCCGAAGGGCTGGGAGGGAGCCTAGGGAGGTCTGGAGCAGGCTTGGATGAAATGAAGGGGGACGGGGCTTCCTGGGAGGGCTTTTGTCGCCATCCTAGGAGTATGAAATCTCACCCTGCGCAACGGGAGCTGCGGCTGACATTTTGGGAACCTCTGTTGTCCTTGATCAGGTGGTCAAGGCTGGGCCCTTTTTTCCAAGGGGACCATGCTCCTGCCCTCCTATGTGGCAAGTTCAGGATCTTGCACCAGCACCTCTCTCCACTCGGGCATCCCCACGGGTGCTCCATCTCTCTTGTCCTCTCGCCAGGGGCTGGGTGAGCGCCAGTGACAGCATAAACCTTCGTCCGTCCTCGAAGAGAAGCTGAGCACTAATGACAGGCATGTGTGGGAATGCCAGCCCCATCTCCTCCATCATTGCCACCACTGTCCCGACCCCCGCCTGAGCCCCCACTCCATGCCACACTCTGCAGCAGGCAGGCTTTGGCTGAGTGGGGCTGGGAGGGCAGGTGCCCTCCTCTGGTGGTGGACACTGGCAGCCTCTGCAGAACAGCCCAATTGCCAACCCTAGCCTTAGGAGCTACATAATCCTGAATAAAAGCTTTGAGTTTTCTGAACTTCAGTGTCCTATTGGCAAAATGGGTACAGGGTTCTTTGTAAGACTGCCATGAGTATTAAAAAGGGAATTGTAATGTGCTTGGCTCTCAGTAGATCCCTGGTCAGGTTCCTTAGCCTCCCTGCCTCCTGAGGACACAGCTATTCATTCTCTAAGCCTTCCTGAGCAGCTAGTAGGTGTCTGACCCTGGACTGAGACCTCATATAGAATCTTGGTTGTTGTTGTTTATTGTTTGTCTTGGTACCAGGGGTTGACCCCAGGGGTGCTCTACCTCTGAGCTACATCCCCACCCCTTTTTAATTTTTTTTAAATTTTGAGACAGGGTTTCTCAGGCTGGCCTTGAACTTAAGATCTTCCTGCCTCAGCCTCCAGAGCCTACAGGGCCCAATTCTCATATGCAGTATTGACTCTGAATCCTCCAGGTATTTGTAGGCTGAGGGGGTGGAGAAGATGGACTGGTGGGAACAGTCTAAGGGTTCCCAGAGCAGAGTCCCTTGAGGGGGTGGTTCTTGGATTTTTCCTGCCCAGCTATCTGGGATCCACAGCAGTTTCTAATCAGGTCCCAAAGATCAAGGGGGCATCTTAGAGAGAGGTGATAGGGTGCTAACACTCCTCCAGAAGGGAGAATGTTCTTGTGAGATAAGTAGTACAGCGCCCAGAGGAGGAGCGTTACCACACGGAACTTGGTAACTCGATGCCCTTGCACATGTCACGCCTCTCAGCATCAGTCTCCCCACCTGAGAAATGCGGATAGTGCCTCATTCTTGGAAGGCTACGCAGATGGCACGAGGTCCAGCTTGCAGCAGGATTCCTCGGCAGAGGTGCACAGGAGCTGGATCATCTGTTTTCTTTACAGAAAAGGAAACTGAGACACATAAACCAGTAAAGAGGCAGAGGCTGCACTTGGACAGTCTGAGTAGGAACCGAGACTCTCCACAAGTGGAGGGAGGCCTCAGACAAGTTCTCTCCACGTGGGAAAATGCCCCCCATACTGGGGGTGTAGGCAAGGGACCGTCGCGGGGAGAGTTTGGGCCGCCAGGGAAGGGGAAGAGCCTGGTGGAAAAGGAAGAGTGAGCCGGTAGAAAACGTTGCCCACAGCTCCGGTCCCCCGCGGGCGCCCCAGCGCGTCTGAGAGACGCGGCGCCTTTAAAGCCTGGCGGGGGCGTGTCCGGCGCGCGGACCCCGCCCCTGGGCGTGTCCACACAGAACCCCGCCCCGGGCTTGTAGCCGCGGCCCGGGGGAGACCGCTCCGGCTGTGGCTCGGCGGCGGCTCCACTGGCAGCGGCGGTGGCGGCTCGGCGGGCTCGGCGGCTCCTGTCCTGCGGGCGGCTGCCCGAGCGCTGCCCGGCGGCGCCCGGACACACGTGGGCGGCTCGGCTATGGCCCGCGCCCCGCGACGTGGCGGGCAGGCACGGGGGCGCGGGACTGCACGGCCCGAGTGAGCCGGGGCCGCGCTCGCGCTCTTGGCCCGGGCCGCCCGGGATGGCCGTGCCGCCGCTCCGCCGGGCGCTGCTGCTGTGGCAGCTGCTGGCGGCGGGCGGCGCGGCGCTGGAGATCGGCCGCTTCGATCCGGAGCGCGGGCGCGGGCCGGCGCCGTGCCAGGTGGTGGAGATCCCCATGTGCCGCGGCATCGGCTACAACCTGACCCGCATGCCCAACATGCTGGGCCACACGTCGCAGGGCGAGGCGGCCGCCGAGCTGGCCGAGTTCGCGCCGCTAGTGCAGTACGGCTGCCACAGCCACCTGCGCTTCTTCCTGTGCTCGCTCTACGCGCCCATGTGCACCGACCAGGTCTCGACGCCCATCCCCGCCTGCCGGCCCATGTGCGAGCAGGCGCGCCTGCGCTGCGCGCCCATCATGGAGCAGTTTAACTTCGGCTGGCCGGACTCGCTCGACTGCGCCCGGTTGCCCACGCGCAACGACCCGCACGCGCTCTGCATGGAGGCGCCCGAGAACGCCACGGCTGGCCCCGCTGAGCCCCACAAGGGCCTGGGGATGCTGCCTGTGGCGCCGCGGCCCGCGCGGCCCCCTGGCGACGCAGCCCCGGGCCCGGGCGCAGGAGGCACCTGCGAGAACCCAGAGAAGTTCCAGTACGTGGAGAAGAGCCGCTCGTGTGCGCCGCGCTGCGGGCCGGGCGTCGAGGTGTTCTGGTCACGGCGCGACAAGGACTTCGCGCTGGTTTGGATGGCCGTGTGGTCGGCGCTGTGCTTCTTCTCCACGGCCTTCACCGTGCTCACCTTCCTGCTGGAACCTCACCGCTTCCAGTACCCGGAGCGCCCCATCATCTTCCTCTCCATGTGCTACAACGTCTACTCTCTCGCCTTCCTCATCCGCACAGTGGCGGGCGCCCAGAGCGTGTCCTGCGACCAGGAGGCCGGAGCGCTCTACGTGATTCAGGAAGGCTTGGAGAACACGGGCTGCACCCTGGTCTTCCTGCTGCTCTATTACTTTGGCATGGCCAGCTCGCTGTGGTGGGTGGTCCTGACGCTCACCTGGTTCCTGGCAGCTGGCAAGAAATGGGGCCATGAAGCCATTGAGGCCCATGGCAGCTACTTCCACATGGCTGCCTGGGGCCTGCCGGCCCTCAAGACCATCATTGTCCTCACGCTGCGCAAGGTGGCTGGGGATGAGCTGACAGGGCTCTGCTACGTCGCCAGCATGGATGCAGCAGCGCTCACGGGCTTCGTGCTGGTGCCCCTGTCCTGCTACCTGGTGCTAGGCACCAGCTTCCTCCTGACCGGCTTCGTGGCCCTCTTCCACATCCGCAAGATCATGAAGACCGGCGGCACCAACACGGAGAAGCTGGAGAAGCTCATGGTCAAGATCGGGGTCTTCTCCATCCTCTACACGGTGCCTGCCACCTGCGTCATCGTCTGCTATGTCTATGAACGCCTCAACCTGGACTTCTGGCGCCTCAGGGCCACAGAGCAGCCATGCTCGGCAGCTGCTGCCCCCGGAGGCCGGAGGGACTGCTCTCTGCCAGGGGGCTCAGTGCCTACCGTAGCTGTCTTTATGCTCAAAATCTTCATGTCACTGGTGGTAGGCATCACCAGCGGTGTGTGGGTATGGAGCTCTAAGACTTTCCAGACCTGGCAGAGCCTGTGCCACCGCAAGATGGCAGCTGGCCGGGCCCGAGCCAAGGCCTGTCGGGCCTCTGGGGGCTATGGCCGTGGCACCCACTGCCACTATAAGACCCCTACTGTGGTCTTGCACATGACTAAGACGGACCCCTCTCTGGAGAACCCCACACACCTCTAGTGACAGAGGCCTGGCTCTGGGTAGTGGCTGCCCCTTCTTTGCCCTCCCCTCCCCCCAAGAGACAGCTGACTAGCAGCTGCCCAGCTGTCAAGGTCAGGCAAGTGAATGCCAGGGGGCTGAGGACCAGGGTGGGGACCCAGAGAGACTCACATCCCTCTCCCCGGCTAGTGCATGGGGAGGGGGGATAGGCCTGTTTGAGTCCCGGAAGGTGTGAGGAGAGGAGGGGGCAGAAGAGAGCGTGGTTTAGCAGGCGCTTATTTAATGATGTAATTTATTGTTGAGTTCCTCTGGAAGCTGTGACTGGAATAAACCCCGGTGTGGCACTGCTGAGTCCTCTCTGGGCTGGGAAGGGGAAGGTAGGACAAGGGTCTGCAGGGCTCCCTGAGAGCAGAGCTGGAGGGGTGTCGCGCTCATTCTCTGGCTCCCCTCCAATCAAGACTAAGTTCCCCCACGGCACAGCTGTTTTGCAGAAGTGTGTGTGTGTGCACGTGTGTACCTGTGTGCGCGCGCACAAGCCTCTTTCTGAGGCCTGAGTGCCGTGCCTCCAAAGTGGGGCTGGGATGCCTGCCAGGATGCTTAGAGAATCCCCGGGAGGACACGAGGCCCTCTGGCTCGGGGGTGTCCAGCCGCTCGGGGCTGTGGTTGTCTTCCCTTCCTCACCCTTTGTTTTCCTCATTAGTGGACAAGGTGGGGATTGAGCCTCCTCCACCTTGTCTCAACGGGTCCCCTTCCCAGGCCTGAGGCTGGAGGATGACCATCCTCATTGCCTCTGAGGGATACTGGCCTGTTCAACTCCTTCTTTGGGGCGCTGGTCAAGGCATCCCCATATCCGGCCCCCCCTTGTCTCTGGGAGGGGCACGTGGGCCCAGCTTAGCAACGGCTTCTTGGTGGTGTGGATGTGGGCCCAGAGATGGAAACCCTTGAGCTTAGTAGCGATTGGCAGCAAGCTCCACACTGGTAGCTTGCACACTTGTGTTGGGAGGTAGGCAGAGGCACTGTGTGTGCTGGGGCAGCTCAGGGCCCTGGGACCTGCCTCCTCTGTCCCGTGTGATGTAGCTGTGTAGGCCACCTGAGACCTTTCAGCTTGTGGTCAAACACCATATTGACCTGGGACACTCACTCCAGCCAGATAAAGGCACTGGTCACCGTCCCGGGGCCTGTACTACCTGTAGCCAGCATTCGGTATCAGTGCCAGGAGACCCTCAGGGCCCAGGCTGGGGCAGGTGCCCCCATTGCTTTCTACAGTAGGAGGGCAGAGCCCCCGAGGCAGGGCCTCTCAGGCTTGAGCTTTGCCCAGCACCAGCTACCAGTGCACAGGGACCAGAGAAGTCTGATGAGAATCACCCAGGTTGGGTCAAGGTCCCAAGCAGGTCCCTCATGGGTTGAGTTGGGGTCAGGCTCATCCTTCAGCACAAGGGTCCCCAGGGGCATGTACAGGAATGTCCTTGTCCTTCTCTTCCCACAGCACAAAATAAGTCTGTGCCTTTGACCAACAATGCTAAGGGACCTTAATTCCTTCTAACTGGGTGAGAAACAGAATGAAGAGAGGTAATAAGGAGCCCATTATGGGAGTGATGGCAGTGACCGCACTGAGTGGGCTCCCGGGCAGTCTGCAGGGAGTGTGGGGTGCTGAGGGTGTGCCATTGGGCAGGGGCCTCTGGGAAAGGGGTGGATTTGCAGCAGCGGTGGGAGTTGAACATTGGAAGGGCACCAGAGGACCCTCTTCCTTGCTAGGCAGGGGACAGGGGAGGGGCTGAGGAACACCCGGGGCAGCGATGCGGTCAGGAGGGCAGGTTTGAGGCTACAATGGTCCATGTTGGCCAGGGCTTGAGAGGAAGGCACACCATGCCAGCAAAGGCCTCTCAGCCCTGGATGAGCCTGTGAAGACCCTGAGGGGAGAAGGAAGCAGTGATGCTCTAAGCCTTGGACAGAGCCTTCCTTCCCCTGGGCGTTCAGTGTTGGTGCTTCACTGGTTCAAAACCCCAGCCGCATGGCCTGAGGACGTGCTGGGAGTTAACCCAGTGGGCCTCCAGAGCTTCTGAGAGTCCTACACCAAGGATCTGATTTGGTCCAGTGGGAGGAACTGCTTCTTCTCCCTCTTGTGTTGGGAGGTAGGACCAGACTTCTCTGGTCCCTGTGCACTGGTGTATAACTTAGAGAGGTCCAGTCCACATAAACTGGGTAAAGCAGGTGAGGGAGAAAAACAACCCTTCTGCAACTGGATAGATCTCCCCAACCACCCAGAAAGAACATTTCAGAATTAGGCAGCAACACCCCAGAAACCAATACCTGTTGGCTCCTGTACCATGGGCCCTGGTCCCTTTCTTCCCCTTCATGGTCTCGATCTTTAGAATGTAGCCTTACACACCTCAAGCGGTACCTGGGAGTCGGAGCTTGTGCATAGTGAGGGCCTTGGTTAATCTCAGCCCCGAGTTCAGTCTCTGAGGGATCTTGGGGCCCAGGGCTGTGTTCACTCCCACAAGGCAGCTCCTGGATTGGGACAGTCCACAGTGTAAAGAGGCCTGAAGGTCCAGGGCAAGGTTAGGATACGGGTTCAGGGTTATTCTCTCCTCACTGGCTCACTCTACACTCTGCTAGACACCCTGGCCCCCACCAAGCTGGAGAAGGGCCATTGAGGAGCTGCTGTGGAACCCAGAGACTTCATCCCAGGACAGGGCTGTAAGACGAGGGTGGTCTCGAGTACAGTCCTCTGGAACAAAGCTCTTCTTTGCACTAGTCATCGCAGGTGAAGTAGCTTCCCTCAACATCACTGGCCCGTGGAAGGGGCAGATAGGAAGGAGATGGGATGCTGAGCAGGGCCCTGTGCAGACCTGGAGGGAGGACAGCCCCACAGGTGCTGAACGGGTGGGCCTAGGAACCCACCACCCAGAACAGAACTTCACAGACTGGGCTGGGAGCCCTGAGTGCTGCCCATCATGTAGAGAAGAGTTTCTTCTCCAGAGCTGGAGGGGACAAGCGAGTGGAATCCAAACTGCTAGGGGGCCAAGCCCACCTTCCCCCAGAAGGGATGGGCACCCCTGAGTGCTTGGTGCAGGCCCTGAAAGCCCATGTCCACAAGGCTGTGAGGCCAGCAGCAGAACCTGCACCCAGGGCTGCGGCCTTCCCTCAAACCCTCTTCCAGGTTGACATCTGACCTTTTGCTCTGCCTGGTTCGGGTGGTCAAGAACTGGCAGTCCCACTGCTCAGCAGGCAGCAGTGGCTTAGCAAAAGCTCTCTTCCCCAGGAGAGGTGTCGCCCCACAGCAGCCTGCTCAAACCAACTGCAGACTCAATCACACATGAGGGCGAAATCCAACAGGGCAGCCACGGGTGGAACCCCTGAAGCCGAGCACGTGGGAACTCATTATACTTTTCACCCATTCTGTGAATGTCTGAAATTATTTCCCTTGAAAAGAAAAATGTTTTTGGGCTGGGGATGTGGCTCAAGTGGTAGCGTGCTCGCCCGGCATGCGTGCGGCCTGGGTTCGATCCTCAGCACCACATACAAAGATGTTGTTGTGTGTTATTTATAAATAAATAAATAAATAAATAAGAAAAGAAAAATGTTTTAAAATATAGGAGTTTCTCCCCAAACTAAAGGAACAAAGACCCACAGTTAAGCCTTAAGAATACTTTGCCCCAATTCCAGATGAAATTCAGGGAGCTGGATGGAGACAAGGCCAGGTTCTGCCTGCCCAAGTACACCCTGCCTGTCTCCGGGAAGTGAAGCACTGTGGCGGACAGGGCCACTGGGACCAGCAAGGGGTGCTCTGGCCTGCCATGCCAAGCCTCACAGGGAGCCGGCCAGGCCAACCAGAAAGTAGCTCCCAGGACTGGACTCCCTACCACCTTGGCAAGAGCACAAAGAAAGAGCTGCAGAATTGTTTCTTCTTTATAAACACAAGTACATAATGTTTATTTGAAATTCCAATTTATTACAAGTTCACCCTTTAATGGGGCCCTTCCTCCTTAAAGACAATTAAAAAAACAACCAACAATTCAGGTGTCACTGCAGTGGGAACACGGATTCTCACTATAACAAGAACAGACTGGATCTAGAATAAGCAGCAGGGGCCGGGGTGGTGGCAGGGCTTGTCCTGGTGTCAAGTCAGTGCTTACCCCAAGCCTGGAGAAGGGTGGTAACCCTACCCACCAGCCACTTGAGACGAGTCCCAGAACCCCCGGGCAAGGAGGAGAAGGAGAGCTGGGACCACACCTGGGAGTGTCATGTCAGGAGGCTTACTCTCAGTCTAGGAGTAGCAATCCCATTGGTGGGCTTCTTTTCCTTTAAATAGATACAGAAGAGCTGAGGTGCTCACGTGTTCCAAATTCAAAGTTGATAGAATAGAAAAATCAAACCCTGTCTTGTACTTTTATCAAAATCTGTCATAAAAGGGAAAGAAGACTACAAACTTTTGCCTAAATATAACGACTAGGCTAGACTGGCTGTGGAACTGCTCTCTGAGCTGCTCCCGCCCTCCACCCCCACTGACACTGACCACTGCCATATGCAGTTCGCAGGAGCTCTGAGTCTGAAGCCAGAATGGGCATGGGAAGAAGCAGATATGGAGGAGGAGGCAGAGAGCGCCGCCACAGTAGGCAGAAGGGTCCCTGGCCACCAAGATGCCACTGGACCAGTCTCCAACCCAGCTCCTCTGCAGAAGACCAGGTGGGTGAGGGCGATGGGGGCGTAAAGCAGACACATCATATAAACTGTACTGTACATATGCCAAAGCGAGATGACAGATATTTTACAAGATGTTCTTTATACAATATCACTGCTGAAACAAGCAACTTTTAATAACTAGAAAAGTCAATTAAAAAAAAAAAAATCAAACATTTCAATTCTTCCTGCTCTTCTGCTCCCTAAGAGCTCGTCTGGTATGTGGGTGGGCTGGGCTCCAACACCCCTCTGGCCAGATCCATCAAATAAAGGTTATACGCATGATTATAAGCAGGACTCAGTCTCTAAGTGAAGTGCCTTCATTTTTTGTTTTGTTTTGTTTTGCTTTGTTGAGGCGGTGGGGCAGGGAAGTGGGAGAAGGCTATCACAAAGAAGGGGCAGGGTGTTCAGGAATGGCTCCAGAAAATGTCCCTTTACTCTGCTAAGATCAACTCAAAAGACCACAACTGTCTCATGATGCTGGTGAAAACAGAATTCTGTATGGCACTCACTGACATACCGTCACCTGAGAGGGAGGAGGAGGAAGAGACAGAGTACGGGCTGAAAGAAACAAGACTGTGTATAAATATAGATTAAAAAAACAAAACAAAACAAAAACAACACAACCTCCCCAATTAGCCTGCTTATTCTTGATCCTGCTAAGTAATGCCGTAACCCCTCACTGGAGACCAGAGGGGCTTGGCGTTGTTGCCAAGGTGGGAGGGACCTCAGAGGGAAGGGAGGGAGAAAAAGAACTGGGCTCACAGGAGACACAGTACCTGGGCCTCCTCCAGGAAACGCTTGGAAAGCAGGGCTAAGACCCTCTTCTGCACCCAGAACTTCTGGCAGAAATCACCTACCCGGTATTAGGCTCCCCGAAAGCTTTGATTGAATAGGCCCAAAGGGGAGTTTGAGAACAGCACAAGCTTGGGGTGACAGATATTTCTGGACTCCCATGATTTTTTCCTTCCAAGTTCTTCTCCATCTTCCTCTCCTGCCTCCCCACTCCCCCCAGCTGTCCCCCACTATCCCCCTACCTCAGCTCCCTTACCAGGGGCCCACCTCTCTATTTCTTCTGCCTTCGTGCCCTGGACTGTCCAACAGGCTCTGGATCACTGTCCCCTTCATCATCAGCAAGCCGGTCGGGAAACTTCTTGCGTTTCCTGCGGACATACGGGTGTCCAGGGAGGTGTTTATGCAGCAGTGCCACCAGGCATTGCTCCGTCTTCACCATGCAGCTGAGCACGTGGCTGCCTCGGCAGTTGTAGAGCTCAGCGTTGGTGAACACCTGCTTCATGTCAGTAAGGAACTCCTGCACGGAGCGGTAGTTCCCACAGGAACACTTGTTCTGTATTGTCTGAAGGTCCATGGGGTGGGTGATCACCTCATAGTAGTCCTCAGCCTCATCCCTGGTCACAGGCTCCCTGTGGAGAAGAACCAATGGAACCCTGATTGCAACTGAGAGAAGCCTGAGAGCCAAATAAGGAGGCCCAGAATGCCCACGCCTGAAGGACACAGAAGAGATGTGGTCACCTTGTCAGAGCTGTCACTATCCACTTGGAAAAGCTAGTTCCCCTGCCACTAAGACGTCCTGAAAGGAAAGGGATGGGGCAGTCCCTGGGGGCTCAGCCAGCTGCTTTCTTCCCCTATTCCCAGTGCCTGCCCGACTGCGCGGCCAACCTCCCCGGAGTAGAGCTCACCTGAAGGGCCAGCTGAAGCGGTACTTCACAATCTTGTGGAGGATCTCCTCACACTTCTGCAGCTCCAGGCTTTGCCTCCTGGAGCTGCGCTTGGTCTGAAGTACCTAACACCAAAAGAAAGAAGAATGTCTATTAGAGGTCCAGAGTAGAACAGCAGGCAGGACAGACAATGTGTGCATCTGCTTAAAAAAAAAAGGAGAAAGAGAAGGAAAAGGAAAGAAAAGAAAAACAGAGCTCAACCATTTTCTTGATGTAGAGACATCAAAAACATTCGACATTCAAGTCGCGCCACACTCTGGGCCGGGAGGCAGGCATCTTCATCTATCCACTCGCCCGCTCCCTGGTGGACAGCGATCAAAGCAGCAGAGGGCAGGCAGCAGTTGCTGCATTAACAGCAGGACTGTTAGAGGTCGGCTGGAAAGGGCCACTGTCAACAGGACGCTAGCACTCTGACAGCAGATGGACCCGGGATTATGGTGAGACCAAGGATGGGTATAAACAAGCAACTGCAAAAAGCCGGCCGGGGGGGCACTGGACCTCCAGTAGCCAATTTTGTGGAGGTGGGGTGTCCGGGAAGGAAAATAAGACGTTCAATTCCCTCGCAGGGCCTTTCCACTGAGGGCACTGTGAGAGGAGGTGGCTGAGGACAGAAGGGGTGGAATCCGTCTTCCAGGTGGCTGTGTAACCACTGGGGACTCACAGCAGTAGGAGCCACTGCCCTGAAGGAGTTAGGGCTGGGCACACAGGGGGGTCTTTAATGTCCTTTCATCTCCAGAATGGCTTGCTTTATGCCCCGACCCTGAGATGGGGATCTGCCAAAACAAGCACATTTTCAAGAGCTTCTTTTTGTTCTTCAAAGCTCAAGTGAGAGCTAAAACAAAACTACTAAAATTACATTGGCTGAGGAGCAGAGGGGAGGGTAACGTCCCTCCCCCTAACAACTGTCGGCAAAAGACCCAGCAGTAAGTGAGGCTCCAACATTGCTGACATTCCCACAGGGAGATCCAGCCCCTCTGGGCCCACCAGAGACACATGGGTACTATTTTAAAATCCTTAACAAGTTGCAGGCTGCTTACTAACTAGAGGACGATGTTTGCAAGCTATGGCCGGGGAATGCCAGACAGAGCTGTTCCGTTCCCAGAGGGCTGGCTGCCCAGAGGCCCACCCATGGGCCCACCCACTTGCCTTCTCAGACCCCCAGGCTCAGGAGGAGGGAGGAGAAGCAAGGCTCCACCTGCTGCCTGGTGAATTCCTAATTCTGGGGGAGGAAATAAGAATAGGAAAACTAGAGGGAGGACAATAAACAACTCTTACCAGCTCGTCAACCTCAGCATCATCCACAGGGGACGCCTTTGGCCGTGGCCTCCTGGTGGGATGTGGCTTCTTACTTGGTCGTCCTGGCCGTGCTGCCGGGGGGATGATGCCCTGCTTACCCCGGGTGGTCTTTCGAGGTCTCACTGTAATAAAAATAAAGAATTCAGAGCAACAGAGGAGAAGAGCCCATTGGGGGCAGGGCAGGGAGGACAAAGCCACTCATACAGGCAAAGCAATGGCTTCCTTCTATTACGGGTGCTCTTGATATTTTTCTCTTGCCCTTCCTAACAGGTTGCTAAGAAATAGCAGCAACAGTAGATGAAAAATGTATGTCCCTCTTCAATTTCCCAAAGACCTTTTAGACGTCTCTGTCCCAACCCTGCTCAGTTGCTCCTGGGAATGAGGCCTTGAAGGATTCAACTGCAAACTGACTCAGGAGAAAAAATCCTGGTCTTCTAAGACCCGAGCTCAGCCGAAGTGTGTGTGTGCTTATATGCGAAACAGAGCCTCATCACGAAACTGCCCGTCTCATAATCCCCAGACTTATCCTACACCCACCATCCAACCTTCTCAGAGAAAGGCAGACACCAGTGAAGGGCCACAAGCCTTCCTCTCTGAATCCAGTTCAGGGCTTGCTCTAGTCCTGTCTTCTTGCATTTCTGACAACCAGACAGTGCACTGCAAGAGCCTGCCTAGCAGCTCCGAGAGAGGACAGGCAGGAAGGCAGCCAGGCTGCGAGCATCTCCAGTTTGCAGCAGGGGCTGGATGTCAGGCACACCGACACTCCTCAGCATGCCCTTGGGAGCACTGTTCCACGAGGATCAGCTCAGGGCTTCTCCATTAAACCCACTGTCTATGACTTTTCCTTGCTAATATTCTGGCGAGTGGGGAGATGACATTTGGGCAAAGACGGATTTAGAGAATCAGTGTTGAGAGAACCAATCACCAGTGCTTTCTTTTCTATTTCTGGACCATGGTAACTGCCCCCCTCCCATGGGCTATTTCACAGCCTCTAGCTTAAGATTTGGCTAATAAGAAAGGGAAAGAAGCTGAGGCTCAAATGCCAGGCCCTTGAGTCACACCAAGGAACCACAGCTTTGGTGGCCTGAAAGGTGAAACAGAAAAAGGCTCTGAAGTACCAAATGCTCCCTAGATTCCTTTGGCAGGTAGAGGCCCTAGAACCCCAGAAAGGGGACAATTCCTTTCCGAGCCACAATGTGGAAGTTGAAAGCTATTACCATTTTGAAAATAAACAGAACCAATACTCTGCTATATTCAGAATCTGTCCAGACAGATGTGCATCCAAGCCACGACTGGCGCCCTCACTGCAGAATCCTGGAATACCTGCTCACACACTTCAGGACACCTGAAAAGAACACCTCGTAACCAAAGCAAAGGAGTCCTATAAGACAGGGAGGTGAGACTTAGGACACCTCCCAAGTGTGGGGGAGGATGGTGGGAGGACTGGAGTGGAGGTGCCAGCTTAGAGCCCTCCTATCTTGGCAGCACCAGTGCAGGAAGCGAAGGTCAAACATGACCTCTCCTCACACCAAGCACAAGCACTCAGGGCTGCCATAAAGAGATGTGAGATGGGAACTGTACCATCTCCTCCATCTTGAGCTGTGGTCTCAGACGAGACTACTGGCCCCCATCTGCGAGGACAGATCTGAACCTTCCTAACATCCTTTTGTTTAAGCCATGAAAAAACAGTCTTCTCTTTGCAAATTAGCAAAACTATAGACCTGTGTGTTTTAGGGAAGAAATGATCACTGTTACCAGAGAAAAAAGTACATCTCTGAAAGTGGCGCTGCACCAGAGGCCTACTCATCCACTGTCCCTTATGTGGAGGGGTTCAGAGTCGGCAACCCTGTCATAAGCATGCCTGCGAACCTGAGCAGCCGTAGGCTGGTGTTCTCACGACCAAGCCACCCACCTCCAACGAGGCAGGTGATTAGCAACAGCATCTTGAAAACTCATTTAAACATATGGCTGCTCAGTTATGCCACAGTCACAGGAGAAAGGGAAGACAGCAAGATGCTGGCATCGACAATTGACTACTGGCCTTTCCAGGTCAGCTGGGGAGACTGTGAGGTCAATGATGTGGACAAAGTGAACACTTACATCGCAAGCCAGCCACCTCATAATCTTCCTCTCCCTCCTCCTCCTCTTCTTCCTCTGAGTCACTCTCATCATCTTCGCTGTCCTCAGAGTCAGACTCCTCAGTGTAGTTCCTGTGAGGAGGAAAAGACAGAGAACAGTTCTAGCCCAAAGTGATCCTGAGAACAGCCGACGTCCCACAGGGATCGCAGCAACCTTTTTCTCTTCACAGAATAGATTAATCTGGTGAGAAGGGGACAGACCCTAAATCTAGATCAGGATAGTTTTTCACAAAATTTTTAAAAAAGGAGGCTTCAAAAGCATGCCTCCCTTTTCTCTGCCCCAAATGTTTTGGATAGGACACCAATGGCAACAGAAGTTAAGACCAAAATGCAACCCTACCCCTCCCCACACAAAACAATGCAAAACACTATTACTTTTGTCTCACAAAAAGAGCCAGATAAAGTAACATTTCAGGTCCTAAAAGCTGTCCCCACTCTGGGATGGACTAAAAAGACAAACAGTCCAGACAGGTGTTACTCCACCTTGATGGCCCCCTTCCAGGAGCTGAGACAGCTTGCAGATGACCATAACTTCAAAGCAATGGTAATCCCAGCTCAGAGCAGCTGGTTCCAAGCCCCATGATTTCAGAGAAGCATGTCTCATCTCTCCAGCGTGGCTGGAATGGGGTGAGAAACAACTCAGGCATACTGTTAAGGTGGAGTCAGGGTCAGACTGCTCTACCCTTTGCAAAAGAGACCAAGCTACAGTGCCTATAAGCTACCTTTATACAATCTCAACTTTCAATGCAAAAAACAATGGTATTAATTTGGTAAATATTAGGTCTTTCTTCCTTACAAGGTCCTATGTTTTCTGTATTGACACTTGGGCAGAAAAAAAAAAAAAAAACAGCACCTCAAATCACAGGGCACTGATGATCTTGTGGGAGGGAACCCTATATATGATCAGATGCAGGCATCAAAGTACTGTTTTAGAGAAGGAAAGTTCAGCCAGCAAAGAGGAGCAATTAACTCTAAGGATGTACGAAGAACTTTTCAAAAATACAGTGCAAGGGGCTGGGGATGTGGCTTAAGTGGTAGCACGCTCGGCTAGCATGCATGAGGCACTGGGTTAGATTCTCAGCACCACATAAAAATAAAATAAAGATATTGTGTCCACCTAAAACTAAAAAATAAATACAGTGCAAATGTAGCTAGGCCAAAGGCAGCTTACTCAGTTGGGAGTGCTGAACAGAGGAAAGTCCAAGAGACAGCAATGAGCAGCCTATAACAGGCACACACAGGCACCAGGGCCCAAAACCTAAGCTGCGGTTGCTATAAGTCTTAGGCAAGGGAGTTTGGACTTTATTCTAGAGGCAATGAAAAGATTGGAAGTTTTAGAACACCTTACTGCCTCCTATTCTGATATCACCATAATAGTTCGACAGGTAAGAAAGGGAAAGATACGAGCTAAGACAAAGGAGCTGCAAATCCACCAAAGGACTGCACGTGAGAGGTGTAGGAGAGACAAACAACCAAAGGGACCACAGAGAGTGGAGAGCAGGCAACTTTTTCATAAGAAACCTGGACGCTGGACTACTAACATCTGGCAAATTAATAAATACACAGGATGGGAGGAGAAAGCTCCTGTCTAAGTCGACACCAAAGTTCTAATTGTGAGAGCAAAATGTGGGAAACAGGAGGTGCAGGCAGGGAAGGTGATGAGTTTGAAGATACTGAGCAGCAGCTGGTTGTAAAAGTAATCAGGAAGTGAGGTGTGCACAATGTGGGGGCAGCAAAGGAGATGCACTGTCACTTGAGAAGAAAGTAGGATCAAGGAGACAAGAGAATGTGGCTGGTAGAGAAAACTACAAACACCAACACTAAACCAGAATCAGATCAGAGCCCTTTGACTCCTATTGAAGCACCATGAGTGATCAGGCTCTGTACTAAAAGATGAACTTAAAGCTCTTTGGAATCACTCAATTTGAATAACTGAAATTTATTTCTCCATTCATTTATTTATAGAAGAAAAATTCTCACCTGCCACGGGAATTGCGCCTAGCAGTAGCAGGCTGGCAAGCTGGGCACTGCCACTCACCATCTGGTACTTCATAGAGGGCCGGCCTCAGACAAAACAGGTGGAAGGCTTTATTACACTCATCACACAAGATCAATTTGTCATCCTCACCTGCAAAGAGATAAACTTGTATAGCACTGTGGGCGGCACAGCAACAATCACTGAGCAGTAAGCCAAGGTGCTGACCCTCAGCTAACACCACAAAAGAACAAACATTCTAGTATAGTGCTACCGCCTTTTCAAAACACAGTCATTTTCTGGAAAGAAATGTAGCATAAAACAGACTATTGGTGATTTAGGGATAAGATCTCCTAACTTATAGCCAAAAATCTACTCACAGATAGGACAATTAGTATTTACTAAGAGGCAGCAAAAATCAAGTGATGGCTAGAAACTTTGCTACTCTTCTCTGACCCCAAATGCTTTCCAATGCATGTCTGGTAAGGTCCTCCAAGTCATTTAGTTTCCTGACGTCTGAAAATACAATGAATCAGCATGGTCAATTCCCCCTCTCTGACTTTCATTCTATATCAGTTTTACAGCAATTGAATGACATTGTATAGAATTTTTCCTTCTTAGAAATTAAATAACTTTAGCCACTAAGAAGTCAATCACATGACTTTTAGGCATGAACCTCCTTTTGTACACAGGTGACCTGAAAGATCTCAACAGTGAACATCCCTAAATGCTTTGCTCTGTAGGATACAGTGGTAAAAGGGCCAACTCTGGGCATTCACAGTGAACAAAGAGTGCCCTCTGCTGGAAGCACTCATCTTTTCTTCCAGACAATAAAGTGCCAAGACAAAAATTGGATTTCAAATTTTAGATGAACTGGGGCTGGGGTTGTGGTTCAGCGGTAGAGCACTCGCATAGCACATGTGAGGCCCTGGGTTCGATCCTCAGCACCACATAAAAATAAATAAAGATATTGTGTCCAATTAAAAAATAAATATTAAAAAAAAATTTTTAGATGAACTAATTTTGCTAGTTGTGGAAATCTGAAGATTGGAGATCAATTGTTCTTATAGCATACTCTAAACTGAGGAACAGAGGGCCTGCTCTGATCCAACATCATGTGATTTCAAAAAATAGCGTCTGATAGACCTTCAGGAGAAAGTAAATCTGCCCCACCATACTAAAAATCTTTGTATACAGAATTCTTTTGGGGAGAGAAGACATCTTGAGAATGGAGATCTTAGTACCCAGCACACCCACGTTAGCAAATTTGATCTAAATGTACCTTTCTTTCGACAAACTTTGCACCTAGCATTTTCTGCTGACATATCCCACTTGATACAGGCGTCAAGCATCCCAAGTAGAACATGCATTCTGGAAAAAGTCTGAGCTTCACGGATTGCTGTCTTCCATTTTTCCAGAGCAGATGCCACCTAAACGAAAGAGCAAACCAGGCTGGAATTATTACTACAGTGACTTCAAACACACTGACAGGGGACCAGGAAAGAGTGAAGAAACAAGAGAATTCTCAGGACATTTGTCTCGTAGAGCTTCATCAATCTACCCATTTATCTTATAGAAAAGAAGCCTCTGAAGGGCGGGGGTGGGGGAAACTTGCCAAAGGTTGCACACAGATTAAAGGGAGGCAGGGGGAATGGCAGGGACACTCTCTTCCAGTGTTATCCCCTTAGACTTAGTAGCATTTAAAAGTAAGGAACAGGGGCTGGGGGTGTAGCTCTGAGGTTCAGTGCAGAAGGCCCTGATTTTTACTTCAAAAAAACAAAAACAAAACAGCTTCCAAGAGGACAGTGAAAGTTGAGCTAGCTTGACTGTGGTGAGAGGCTGGATGAAGGAAACAAGAGCTGTCCTTTCTCTTTCCTACAGAAACACAAATACAGAATCACAGAAAGCCTTATGTGTAAAGACACACACAAACCAATCTATATTTAAACAGAGGCTACTAAAGTTCTAGTGGAGAGTGACTCATTCCTTCTACTCCAACTTCTGCAGATGTTTCAGCATTTGCTTTGAAAAAGAAGCACAATTTCCTCCCTCCCTCCCTCCCTCTTTCCTTCCTTCCTCAGAGCTCCTTGGTAAAATCTGAGTTCACCAATCAGAGCTGCCTTGCAGTCCCCCCTCTGCCCTACACACACACTCTCTCTAGAGTAGAGATCTGACACACAGTACTGCAGGTTCCTCATCAGAAGAACAGTCTCCTCCAAGCTGGTCTAGAATCCCCATGTCTCAGCTTCCCCAGGAGCTGGAACTACAGGCTCACTGTGCTGCCCAGCAGGTCAGTTCTCACACAGCACTACTGCCAGGCGGCAGGGACTCAACCACAGATGGGTGTGGCTGTCCTCTAGTGGGTAGTCACAGGCAGGGCACTGAGAATACAGTCCTGCTCTGCCCAGCACTGCTTTTCACTCCCCAGTTATTTCCATCAATTATAAAACCAGGCATCTACAGCTCATCTGGCCTCTTTACAATTATTTTAGAAATCCAAAGAGGTCTTGACAACAATAAACATATTTAACCTTTTTAAAAACAGACTTAAAATATATCATGTAATTAGGTGGCTTTTTGTAACTGTCGATTTTCACTATATTTCTGGGTTCATTAATGTTCCATTTAGTTGCTGAATAATACTCTGTTGTTCAGATATGAGATATTTTATTTATTTATTTATCAGCTGATGAACATTTGGGTTGTTTCCAATGTTCTGGTTAATTCAGAATGCTTCTGCTACAAACAGTGGCATAACATTCACTTGTCACTAGTTACTTTACATGGGAAGAAAGCTTGCCCAAGGCTTCACAGAAATCTAGGGCCAGGTCTGCAGATTTCTGATCTAATGCTTAACACGTTAGGAGCATCTCCTGATGTCTCCAGAGTTACTCATTAAAGCAGAGACCAACCAGCCTCTATTTTTGAGGGAAAAAACATTAGATATTCAAGTTTCGAGGAAACATTCTAGTCTCAAATTACACACAATTCCAGCCTAGTGCATCAAAAGACAGAAGCAAAACAAAAAATCCATTACATTCGAAGTAATGCTTTTAAACAGATAAGCACTGGCCAGATGAAAACATTTCCATACTTAATACTTGTGGCATCCTATAAAACCCTCCACCTTAAAGTGCTGCAGGAGCCTGCACACATTCTTTTTCTTCTTCTTTTGGTACCAAGGAGATTGAGAACAGGGGCGCTTAACCACTGAGCAACATCTCCAGCCCCTTTTATTTTTAATGGTCTTGCTAAGATGCTTAGGGCCTTGCTAAGTTGCTGAGGCTGGCTTTAAACTTGCCATCCCCCCTGCCTCAGCCTCCCAAGCTTCTGGGATTATAGGAGTACATCAACGGCACCAGGCCTAGACACATTATCCTAGTGGAAAGAAAAATCAAATTCTCTAGCATATAATGTTTAAATAAATTAAGTCCCTGGTCAGAAGTAGCTGCAACAGAATCAAGGAAAATGGAGTTTACATCTAAGTCACCATTAGTGCCTTTGTTTAACATTAAACAGGCAATTGTCCTATCTTGGCAAGGATATAACAAGACTTCACGTCAATCTTCCACAAAAGACCATTCAAAATAGAAAAACAGTGCTAGTTACAGTAGCACATACACCAAAAGTAGAACCATACAGAGAATATTCACAGGGCACCTACATAAGAATGATATGAACACTCATGAAATGTTCCACATTATTTGAAATATCACACAGTACCCCATAAATTTGTACAATTATCATGCTAATCAGTAACTTTTTAGAAAAAAATTAAAGGAGACAGAAATGCTAACTACTCTGATTCAATCATTACATGCTGCACACACGTAATGAATTATCACTATACCCCACAAAGCTGCATAATTAAAATAATGAGCAAATGTAAATTTTAAAAATTAAAATAAAATAAAAAAACAATCAGGTTGTCAGGGCAATGCAACCAAAGTAAAAAGAGAACAACAACAACAACAAAAAAAAAAACCCCAGGATTTTGTCAAAATATACATTATCTTTCCCGTTTAATTAAGGGATTTGAGAGACAATCTACTTTCATAAATAAGGAAACTGGGGCCCAGATTAGAGACTGACATAAACTCATGCGACGGCCTAGTGCCAGCTGAAAAAACCCTGGCCTTAGCTAAGTGGAAACTTTTTTAAAGCAAAGGACAGTGGAAAAAGCTGACCTTGGTGGGAAACTGCAGGGCCTAAGGCCATGTTAATGCAGAAGGTAGCTGAGCCACTCCGTGGATGTGACTGACTTTCCAAGAGGCCCTACCAACTTCCTATTCCTGCACTGGGTCTGGACCTGCAGAGGGCTCACTTTCTCCCTAAGCTAAGAACTAGTCTCACCTGACAAGCTAAGAAGGTTATTTCACCATGGGCTTTAGTACTCAAAAAGAGATTAATGGGAATTCTATATCTGTTAGTTAGTTCTCAGGGAGAAGAAAATGTTATAGGAAAAGAGATGGCAGGGGAAAATGGGACTTTTGGCATGGGAACATCCAGGGAGACTCCTGTGGTGTCAGAAGAAAAGCAGGGGGAACATGACTACTACGTACAAATAACTGAGGTGTTTTTGAAAGGAGAGTGGTGTCTGTGTAAACTGGAAGAACAAAACCAGAATTAGTTGTCAGTGACCAAGAGAGTCTGATTTGAGTTGAATCTGAAAAGGCCTCTGGCACCCCTGCCATGACGATTAATTCCTGCTCATTTTTCAACCCCCAGTTTCTGCGTGATCTCCTCTGGGAAGTCTTCTCTAACTGGCCCTGGGCATCCCTCAGAGGCCAAGCCAAGTACTACTCTCTCTCGTTGGTACAAACAGCCCTCGACTTATGATAGTATGACTTATAATGTTCAGACTATGAAGATGGAGTGAAAGCGACACTGATTTAGTAGAGACTGCACTTAAATTGTGGGTCTTTTCTGGGCTAGCAATAATACAGGATGATGTTCCCTTGTGATACTGGGTAGGAGGCAGTGGCTCAGCCAGCCACACGCTCACAATGGGAGCAGGCTGTGCTCTAGAGCGCTGCCACTACGTGCACTGAGTCGGGGACATACAGTGTTTCCGATTCAACATTATTTCCACTTTACCATGGGTGTATCAACATGTGGTTAAAACCCCAGTAAGTCAAGGAACATTAACTGCCTGCCTGCTCCGTCTCACACTCACACCGAGTACCTTGAAGACAAGGATTTATAGTTTTTAAAATCTCCATGACTTAGCACAGTTATGCCTTTATCAGATGTTTGTGAAAGAAGAAAAGGGAACCAGGAAAATCTACAATTAGGGATCAGTATTCTGCACTGGATAAACTGGGACTTGTCTTTCAAATTCTTTTCTTCACAAGGTATTTTAAGCAGAAATCTAATGTACAAAACAGACAAAAATGGAACTGCTAGGTATCCTCATAACGGGAAATGGGAGACTACTTCATACTCATTAGCAGAAATGAACAACATGGGGCTGGGATATAGTTCAGTGGTAGAGTGCTTGCCTAGCATGTACAAGGCCCTGAGTTTGATCCCCGGCACCGCAAAAAAACAGAAGAAAATAAAAAACCCACCAGGGAGATCACTACAGACCAACAGAGAAGGGACAAATAATTGCCCAGAATATGTTGATGAGTGCAAAGTACTGAATGTTTGGATAGAAGGATTCCATTCTGTGAAAATCTAATAAAAACTCTCTTTGTAACAGACAGCACATCAAACTATTAGGGGTTATTAAACAGTGTGGTATCTTTGGGTAGTGAGGCTAGGATGGCAGTTATATATTTTTACTTAACCTCTTGTTTGATTTATTTACAATGAGCATGTTATGTTTAAAACTTTTAAAAAGCCAATAAATTGGATGGATATCTACATAACAACAACCAAAAAACCAAAAAACACCTGAAGTTGGATCCTTACTATATCCTTTACAAAACTTAATTCAAAATGAATCAAAGACCTAACTGTAAAATTAGAAGAAAACAGAGACGGGGCTGGGGATATAGCTCAGTTGGTAGAGTGCTTGCCTTATATGCATAAGGCCCTGGGCTCGATCCTCAGCACCACAAAAAAATAAATAAATAAAAAGAAAACAGAGGGAGGAAAGCTCTGTGACATTTAATTTGGCAATGATTTCTTGGATGTGATACCTAAAGTGGAGGCAACAAAAGAAAAAACACAGATGAGTTGCATTAAAATATGCATCAAAGAGCACTATCAACAGAATAAAAAGACAACCCTGGGAATGGAAAAATACATTTGCAAATCACATATCAGATAAAAGATTAATAGCAAGCACACGCAAAGAATTCCTACAACTCAACCAAACAACCCAATTTAAAAATGGGCAAAGGAGGGCTTGGGTTGTGGCTCAGTGGTAGATTGCTCGCCTAGCATGTGAGAGGCCCTGGGTTTGATCCTCAGCACCACATAAAAATAAACAAATAAAAGCTTAAAGATTTAAAAAAAGAAAGAAAAAAAAGGGCAAAGGACTTGAATACACATTTCTGCAAAGATAAAACAAATGGTGAATAAACACACGAAAAGATTGTCCTATCATTGATCATTAAGGAACTACAAACCAAAACCATAAGACAGCACCTTCTATCCCTTAGGATGGAAACCATCAAAGAAACAGGACATGAGTGCTGGCAAGGACATGCAGAAACCAGAACCCAGAGAACTGCTGACAGAATTTGTGGAAGCTGGTCCAGCCACTGTGGGAAGCACATGGCAGGCCTCCAACAAATTAGACTCCACTTCCATCCACAACTCCACTTCTTGGTGTATCTCAAAAGAATTAAAAACAGAGATATGAAGAGATACATGCAGGCCTTTGTTCACAGCAGCAGTATACTCAATAATTAAGACAGAGAGCAACCGGAGTACCAATCAACGGCTGAATTAGTAAATAAAATTGTGTGGGTGTGGGGGGGGTATTAAAAGAAATATTTGGGATTCATCTATGACCCTAAAACCCTTGAAATTTTTTGATTTTTCTTTAGTTATAGAGGCCCCTAGACAGACTCAGGATGGGTCTGGCCACCAAAAGGACTCAAGTAATTAGAGGCGTGAAACTTTTAGCCCTACCTACAACTCCAGTAAGGGATGAGGAAGGGGCTTCTGGGTTAGTGAACACATGGGTGTGCTGAGAAACTGGGGTTGTTCAGAGAGGGTGTGAAAACTCCAGGCCCTTCCAACCCTATGCTTCTTCCATGCAGCTGTCCCTGAGGTGTAGCCTTTATAGTAACCTAGTTGTCCTAAGAAAAAAATGTTTCCCTGAGTCCTTGAGCCATTTTAGCAAACTACTGAACCTGAGGCAGGGGTCATGAAAACCCTCTTTCGGCTAGCACAGGGACTTGTGACAGGCATCGAAGAGAGCAGTTTTATAGGACTGAGTTCATTAACTTGTGGAACCTGATACAAACTCCCAAGTAGTGTCAGAAATGAACTTCAGCTGAACAACAACAAAAAATCGGAGAACTGCTTGCTGTGGAAGAAAACTCACACACATCATGTCAGAAGTGTTGTTAGATAGAGAAGTGGTTTTCTATTAACATACATTGGTTAAAAACAAAGGAAATTCTTATCATGTTAAGTAAATGAAAGCCTATCCCCAAAAAACCAAAGACTGAATGTTTTCTCTGATCAGCAGATTCTGATCCATAGCAGGAGGGAGGGTAAGGAAGAATGAAGGAACTTTGGATTGTGCAGAGGGAAGTGAGGGGAGGGGTGGGGTTGTGGGGATGGGAGGGACTGTAGAATGAGAAGTAATAATACATATATTATTACTCTCTATATGTGTATGATTACACTACTGGTGTGACTCTGAATCACGTACAGCCAGAGAAATGAGAGTTGTGCTCCATTTGTGTACAATTTGTCAAAAATGCATTCTACTGTTGTGTATAACTAATTGAACAAATTAAAACAAACAACAACAACATCAAAAGAACCCAAAGGAAATTCTGGCATGTGCTATACAACATGAATGAACTTGAAGACATTATGCTGAGAAGTTCTAGGGAGGTATACACTTAACAACACAGCATAAAAAATGGGGAATTCCACATTGTATATATTTTTACCACATTTTTGGGGAGAAGATACACATACTCTGACCATTATTCACAGCTGTAGAAAGCTTTAAAAACCACAAATTTGGCAAAAGTGATTTTTAAAAAAGGAATACAGGATCAGGGGGTAATGTCACAAGTAGCTAAAAACTGTAAGGTAAGACTATTTCAAAACCAAATTACAGGGGCTGGGGTGCTGACTCAATGGTTGAGTGCTTGCCTAGCACATGTGAGGCACTGGGTTTGATTCTCAGCACCACATAAAAAATAAATGAATAAAATGAAGGGTATTGTATCCATTTACAACCAAAACAAAAAATTCACACTCACATAATCAAAAACTACATTTCTGGGCTGGGGTTGTGGCTCAGTGGTAGAGCACTTGCCTAGCATATGAGAGGCACTGGGTTCAATCCTCAGCACCACATAAAAATAAAGAACATAAAGGCATTGTGTCCATCTACAACTAAAAAATATTAACAACAACAACAACAACAAAACCCCTATGTTCTTTAATAACTAAATACCTTTGCTTCCTCTGCCATTTTTTTCTCTTCATCCACTTCCTCAGTTTTTACTGAATCTTCACTTTGGAGTTTTCTTCTCCTTTGCTTGGGAGCCATGAAGCCTTGGAGAAATTTCTTTATGACACTGGCCTGAAGGGCAATGACACACTCACCAAAATCCTTTAGTTTTTCTAATGAAATGACCTACAAGAAATAATTTAAAAACTAGATTGAGAAAAGGCTGCAAGAAAAACAAAGTCATCTTTAAATTCAAATCAACCTAGACTAAAATATCAAAAGGCCACATAACATAATTTACCACCTGTGTTTCTTAGTTCACTAGATGGAGTATACATTTAAAAGTTGACTACTTCCATTCCCCCAGTGATAGGATACATAGAATGCTGAAATCTCACTCACTTCAAGAGTTACAGAACTCACTCATCTGATAATACTGAGCACCTACCAAGTGTAAACTATAGTCTTAATGCAAAGACAAACTGAGGAAAATCAAAATTTACTGTTTTTTTGGCTTAGTTACTTGATGAGAAAACAGGAGTTAAATCACATCATCAAAATCATGCTCTCAGATCCAGATTCCACTCTGGGGGAGGGGGCAACCCCACTAGGACTGCAGGGCCGGGCTCTGTTTCTTCAGGTAGCTCCTAGAACTCTGAGAACTTCTAACAGCACTTGGTGGAGTTGGGAGTCATCACTCAAGGTTGGCTTGGATTATTTTGAGTTGGGATTAAGTCAATGGCGCCAATCAAGAAGAAAGTTGAATTGATGTATATTAGTGTAGCCAGAAGTTTCTGCATATTCCAAGACAGAATGTTTTTTCCTACAAAAAAGACTGCAGCTGTCTGTCCAGTAACCAGCACAAGTTATCAAAGAGGACACCTCTGAACTAAGGAGTGAACTGCGGCGGTAATGAGCGCTGGTGCAGAAGCGCTTGACACAGCTGAGGCATTGATGGCAGGTGCTGGAGGACATTAGCCTGCAGCACAAAATGCCGGCCAAAGTCCCTCAGGGGTCCTTGGCCTGCCTGGAGCTGGCATTTGCCAGCATGCCTGAGCCTCTGAAGCTGACCTGAGAGGGGTCTGGCCTACAAGGTAGCGCCCTGCAGACAGTTTGGCCAAATGTTCCTATGTGGATGTGGCATTTTAGAAGAACTATTTACGGGAGAATGAGTCACTGTTTTGTTTCCACCCAAAAATTTCCTCCAATTTTTATAAACTGTTAATTACTTGAGTACTTTATAAAATACCTATAGCTTTGTAAATGAAGTGGTTTTTAAATTTTTTTTTTTGAGGAGGGGAGGTTGTAACAAAGTTTAGACTATTAGTTTGATGACAGATTCTTCCTTGGTTTTTAATTTTTTAAATTTCTATATGACTTTATATGTATTTCCCCAGTTGTTAGTCTGTTAAGATCTGAGGGGGAAACTGCAACCTGAGGAGAAAACTTACAAAACTCTTCAGGGAAGAAAAAATTTGGTCGAAGGCCTTTTGTGATAATTACCCATCCATGGTAGTGTAAACAAATATGTAAATTTGCTGTTTCAAGACTTAACTTCTTCAAGAAAAGAAATCTAAAGCAACGTTTGTAATGTTTCCAGAGTATTACAGAGTTCACGTATTTTGTAAATGGGCCAGAAAAGGGTTAAAATCTGCTAGGATTGTGTAGTAATATTACAGTAGATCCTTAAGCTGATGCTGCCTTTTATTTGGGTGCTTGTTTTGCATGGTATTTACTGTTTTGAGGGGGAGACATAATAGGAGCATGACTGCTAAATGCCTTGCAGCAAGTGAATCAGTGTAACAAAGCAAACCTTGTCTCACTAACATGACAGAAAGGACACAAGTGAAGTACGAGGGGTCAAAGTTCAGTCTGATTCTTATTCTTTTGAATTTTGTTTTATGTGCTTGTGTTTGTTTTACTGTTTGAAGAAGAGACAGTTTACACAAAGGAAGATTCTTGCTCATAGATTTGATTCCAGGGAACTAGGGCCTTGGGATGGAGAGTGACCTGCAGACTGACCCTCAGCTACTTCACCTCCACAAACAGCACATGGGGCCTCCACTGGCCCTCTTGTTGAAGTCTTTCTCTGTTCTATGCAAAGCTTGTTCGAGTACATCCCTTCACCCAGTACAAACATTCCACTGTCGTCTGAATAGTCATTAGGTCGGTGATTTGGTGTCTTAATTTGTTTTTCCTCTCCAGCCCTGCAGATCCCTCCTCACAGACATCAAAATTCATTCATGTTCCTGGTCTGGCCTGGATACCACCTGGTCCATGAAGCCTGCATTTCATTCCAGGGTACAGGACTCTATTTCTTTCGCTGTCCTTGTGGGTTAATGAACTCCTATCTGTTTCTGTGCCCCTTACTACACTGAATGCTCTTTGGGAATTAGACATTATTCCCCTTGAAAATACAAGCACATGCATTTTATAGGATACTTTGTACTCACTTTGGATATGCTTCTCATTACTCATTTTGTTTGTGTGCTCTGCTGATGGAGGCCAGCAGATTCCCTCGATTAGAATGTATAGGTCAAAACTTTTTTTTTAAATATTAAAAAAAATTTTTAAAATTAATTTTAGTTATAGATGGACATAATACCTTTATTTTTAATTTTTACGTGGTTCTGGGGATCGAACCCAGTGCCTCACGCATGCTAGGCAACCGCCATACAACTGAGCCACAATCCCAGCCCAGGTCAAAACTTAAAAGTTATTCTTTTTCTTTCTTTTTTTTTTTTTTAAATATTTTATTTTTTAATTATAGCTGGACACAATACCTTTATTTTTTATTTATTTATTTATTTTTATGTGGTGCTGAGGGTCAAACCCAGGGCCTTGCACGTGCTAGGCAAGTGCTCTGCCACTGAGCCACAACCCCAGCCCCTTAAAGTTATTCTTATTATAAGGGTTTAACCTGATCACCTCATGCTAGCTAGAAGTTCTAATTGGAAGCTTTAGGTTTCTTGATTAAAAGCCTAAATAAACTAAGTTTTGGGCAGTCTTTCAACAATAAAAGTATTTTTGGTGAAAAGATTTTAAACTGTTCTACTTGATGCTTAGTGAAAATATTCTGAGTTAGTGTATATACAAGTTATTATCTTCTCTTTATAATAATTCAGAAATTATCTATCAAATGACAGTTTTTCACAAATAAATCATGCTCTTACACATTGCACACTATCTTGTCACAGAAGGCATACCAATTTAGAAATTCCATTTTACAGCTAAAAAGAGATATAACTCAATGTCACTAAGAAAGAGGTCTGCATTTAGCAGTGTAGGCAACTGATGAGCATTTGTTAAAATTTTTAAAAATTTGTTAAAAATTTGTTAAAATTTTAAAAAGTATGCATACAGCTACTTTTCAGGTTATGATTGGATGTTCACACTGTTCTGAGATGTGCCTCTCTCTTGTTACAACCTCACCATATCACCCATCTGACATGAAATAAATATGTAGTACTGGAAAATAACAAAATCACTTAGGTTCAACAAGTCTTCAAGTATCATTCAGAACCACAAATATATTTAAATCTGCTTTTCTAGAAAATGTACCAAGGATTCATCACTAGACTAGTTAAAAGGAAAAACTTACATATGCAATACATTATATGTAATTTGTTAATTCTGATAACAAAGAAAAGAAATGCAGACCATGAAAAAAAAAAAAAAAAAGGATTGATATTTACAAATTAGGGAAAATGAAAAAGATGTACCAAACTTTACAACTGTAAGAATACACAAGCCAAAAAGCCAGATGTGGTCATGTGTAGTGTTCTAATTTGTCATAAGGCTGAGGTAGGAGAATCACAAATTCAAGGCCAGCTTGGTCAACATGAGACCCCACCTCAAAAAAGGAAAAAGAAGGGGGGAAAAAAAATACACCACACTATCAGATGCACCTCCCAACACAAACACTCCTTAATACCCATGAAAGTGTAAGTCCCTTTTATAAAGGGGTACAGTATTTGCATACAGCCTGTACATCCTTCCATGTATTAAGCTCTAAATGACTTATGAAACCTATTACAATGTAAGTGCTACATAAATATCTCTTAGAATTTAAGACAAGGGGAAAAAAATCTCCACATGTTCAGTACAGTCACAAATTTCCCCAAACATTTTTTTAAAATATTTATTTTTAGTTGTAGTTGGACACAATACCTTTATTTTATTTATTTATTTATTTATTTGTATGTGATGCTGAGGATCGAACCCAGGGCCTCGCACGTGCTAGGCAAGTGCTCTACCGCTGAGCCTCAAACCCAGCCCCTTCCCAAACATTTTTGATCGGTGGTTGGTTGAATACAGATGTGGAGCCCATGGTTAGAAGACTGACTATAATTTGAAAAGATCCACAAACATTAGTATCTAGAATTATGTGGACTTTATGATTTAAAATCGGAAAAACACATCTTACAATAACAGTTGATAGCATTTGCCAGTCTTCTCTTTCAGCTTTGGTACATAGACCTATGTAACATGGAACAAGGGGTCTCTTGAAACAGCTTTACTTATACTTCTTAAGGATCCTTTCACACATCAGGACTGTGAATGGGACTTAAAATATACTTCACTTAATTAGCATAAGTGACACCCAACTAAACATAGCTTAACTCAGCAGATAGAGTATACAGAATGGATCCAAGTAGGATTCAGACACATTTCACAATTTGAAGCACAGGTATCATAATGGAAAGAAAAGTTAAATGATGGGCTGGTGATATAGCTCATTTGATAGAGTGCTTGCCAAGGCTCTGGATTCAATCCCCAGTACCACACACACAAAAAAAGAAATGTTATATGACCATGGCTTGACAGCCAGTTTTCATTCAGGTAAATTAGATAAGCTCTTTTCAAACAAAGGTTCTGAGGAGACTACTAGATTTTTTTCTGGAAATCAGCAAAAGATAACAAAGGGAAAAATAACATACTTAAACAATTTTTGGTTGTATACATAACACTCAGGACAAACCCAAACATGATTTCTAGGGTTATCTTGGCAAGTCAATTACAGTATCAAGAAACAATTTCAAACTGTATTTTTCTAGGTAACAGCTTTCAAAGTGTTTTTTTTTATACTCTTTACCCTGGCTTCGAATTCTGATGTTTCCTCCACATATCCAAGTCCTCCCTTTTGTAACCTTGTTGCAACTTCAATGAGATCACTCCGGAGAAAGTTTAAAAGCTCCTGGTTGCCATCACAGGATTTTAGACCCAAATTTGGTTTACGAGCTAGATGAATAGAGTGAATGATGTCCTGGTACCTATAAGAATTGGGGCAAAGGAAAGGGGGAAATAAAAAGTATTTGGAAAAAAAAAGAAAAAGAAAAAAAAAAGTATTTGAAGATATTCTTTAAATTTCAATTACTTGAATGACATGTTCTATTTCTACAAAACTTATTTTCTCCTTATTGTTTTTTAGTCAGTCTCATGTTTTAGGTACACAATTTTCAAATTTTTCTTAATTCTTGCTTCATTCTAAAAACAATTATTTTATTCTGTGTTGGCTAATTCTGGTGTCTGGTAAACAATGCCTTTCCTAGTTCTCACTCATGACACCTGATTTGTGCATTTTGTGACTTGTTTCCCAGGACTCTCCTGGAATGTCAGCTATGGGAACTGCTGGAGGCCTGGCTGGTGCTGTGCTCCTCTGGAGAACCTGCACTTGATTGTTTGTTCCAAGAAAATGCCACCAAACTGGGATGACTTTAAATTGTCTGCTTAAAACTTATCACAACACAAAGAAATGTCAATGTACGACCAAAACTACACAGTAACTTCAGTAGAGTTTAGTCTCACACTGAAGATTAACCCTTTCAGGTCCCAGCAATAGATTCCTATCAGGCACTCTACCTCAGGGGCCACACGCTTTCCTGTAGGCTTCCTACAAAATAAACACTAAAGCTCATGTTATTCGAGCTGAACACAAAGTTCCTCTCTCTGTCTTAGTAATAAAGACTTTTATATTATTTTCCTTGGATGTACCTTCGCTATGTCACGCTGGTTTCTCCCTTCATGATTTCCAGATGCTACAGAACCTCCCTTTCATTTTCTCCTTTGATGCAAGTGTCATCTAGGAATATACTTAACTCAGTGGCAGTTAAGATCATTTTGGCCATTAATGAAGAATTCATTTTAACTTTACTGCAATCTGAGAAAATATCCTAAAGTCAATGTTTGTAAATTTGTTGAGCTTTTGTGGCTAAGTACATGGTTAATTTTTATAGTCAATGAATATAAAAATCTTATTTCTTATGCTTCTAGCTGCCCTCATATACTTTTGTTCACCCTTTTATTTACATTCCCATCCCTTTACATATTTTCTTGTAAATAGTATGTATGTTTTGGTTTTCAAATCAGAACCTCAAATGGCTCATGAAACATTATCCTATCCCCCGGTCTCCCTCAAGAGGAAACAACTCAAATAATCACTACCAAAAGAAGGGACAAACTAGGGTGAATTCACTAATATTATACAGATTTATGGAATATTATACAGAAATAAAAGTGCAATTCAATTATAAGAAACATGATGTCACTTAAATAGGAAACAAATGCCAAACTGCCTGGTATCCTTAAAAAAGTTTAAAAGAAGGGGCTGGGATTGTGGCTCAGTGGTAGAGTGCTCATCTAGCACGTATGAGGCACTGGGTTTGATCCTCAGCACCACATAAAAATAAATAAAATAAAGGTATTGTGTCCATCTACAACTAAAGAAAAAAATTTTTTTTTTAGAGTTCAAAACAAGCCAGCACTCGACTATAATCCTAGTGACTCAGAAGGCTGGGGCATGAAGATTTCAAATTCAAGGGCAGCCTTAACAACCTAGTGAGGCCTTGTCTGAAAATAAAAAATAAAAAGGGCTGGGGATGCAGCTCAGTGATAAAGCACTCCTGGCTCGAATCTCCAGTACTATAAAGAAAAGAACAGAATTTCAGAACAAAGCAAACAAGTTTTTTTTAGTTTTGTTTTGTTTTTGGTACTGAAGATTAAACTCGGCACTTTACAGCTGGGATATATCCCCAGCCTTTTTTACTTCTTATTTTGAGGCAGGGTCTCTCTAAACTGCTGAGGCTGGCCTTGAACTTGCAATCCCCCTGCCTCAGCCTCCCAAGTTGCTGGGATTTTAAATGTGTGCCACTGGCCCTAGCTCCAAGGAATTCTAAAAATATTCAGTTAAAAAAAAAGAAAAAAAGTTTTTACTTTGAGACATGGTCTCAGTATGTTGCCCAGGCTGGCACTGAACTCTAGATCATCCTGTCTAAGCCTCCTCAAGTGCTGGCTTTCACCACATCTAGCTTTCATCTTTAATCCTGATAGTCTCTAACCATGAACAAGAAGTTTTGATCTGTTTGCATTTAATGAATAGAACAGGTCCTCTCAATCTACTCATATGCCTATAAAAATACTTTGACCAAAGAGGAGGAACCTCATAGATCTGTATTTCTTTGTGGTTCTGGGTACTAACACTTTGTCTTTCTTAAATTGACAAGATACACTTGTATTAAGAAACATGATTTTGAGCATAATTTTAATTAATGAACATATTAAGCAATGGAATAAAATTAATACGATATACCTATCACCAGTCCAAAAAGTTTGGCAATACCATAGAGTATGTACTAAAAGGTATTTTTATCTGTTGAACGAACTCTGGATTCAGCCATGAAAATAAATATGTGGTCGGAAATTAGAAGTAGCCTTAAGTCAAAAACCCTTATCCTGCCTTTGATATAAAGAGTGGATACAACAGAAATAGCATCAAAAAAACTCTAAATGAAATGGATGCTATTTTGAAAACAAGACTGGTTTTGTGGATTTTAATTTTGTTTTGTTTCTCATATTGGGTATGAAATCCAGGGCCTCCCTCATGCATACTAGGCAACAACTCTACCACTGAACTATATCCCCAGTCCTTTTTATTGTGAGATAGGTATCACTAGCATGCCCAGGCTGGCCTTAAACCTGTAATCCTCCTGCCTCAGCCTCCCAAATACCTAGGATTACAGGTATATTCAATGAGGCCCAGCTTTTTTTAAAAAGATATAATTTATATAAAATAAAATTCACCATTTAAAAAAGGTATTGTTTTATGGGATTTATCACAACTACCAAGCTCTAAAGCATTTCCAAAACCCTAAATAGAGACTCATGCATGTTAACAGTCCTAATATTCCCTCCCCTATTCTCTGGCAATGAGGAATCTGCTTTCTGTTTCTAAGTAGTTGCCCCTTCTAGATGTTTCATATAAAAGAAACCATAAAATACCTAGTATTTTATATTTGGCTTCTTTCATTCAAACCTTACATTTTGTAGGTTCATCCATGTTGTAACAACACTTCATTCCATTCTTGTGGCTAAATAATATCCCATCATTCAGAAATACCATATTTTGTTTATCCACATGATGAGTATTTACATTCCACTTTAGGGCTATGGTGAATCTTGACAAAACACTTTTTTTTTGGTACTGGGGATTGAACTTGGGGTGCTGTGCCACAGAGCTACAACCTTACCCCTTTTTATTTTGGGACAGGGTTTTGTTAAACTGCTAAGAGCCTTGCTAAATTGCTGAGGCTGGCCTCAAAAATGCAATCCTCAGCATTCAGAGTTGCTGGGATTAGAGGGGTGTGCCAATGCACCAGCTTAATGAACGGAATACTTTAAAAAACCAACCCATCTGGTACTACGTTTGCAAGAGTGCCTAATTACAATGAGGCTAACAGCTTTATACAGGGCAAGCATTATTCAATAAGAAATCCTGCTAGCCTGTATTATATATGATTTAAAGGTATATTTTTTCCAGATAAGCATGATGCACCAAAAATATGAACATCCAAGGGTTACAGAAATTTTTAAATTTTTACTTTATAAGCAAAACCTAAAATATTCCTCAGATATTTATACCTACTATTGAAGAGAAGATGTGAGAAGCAAGAGAAAAATCCTTACCTCTTTTCTAGTCTCTCTTTAAGTTGACTTTCTCTTATTCCCTGAGGATGAAGGCAGTTTAGCAACTCATCCAATTCCTTCTGACTATCACATAAAAACCTGTAGAGGCAAAAGATCTTACAACTCTGAAAAGCCATCAAACAATAATGGATCAAGTGTTGGTGGTGGAAATTGTAAAAGCAAAATCCTAAACCTGTTTACAGTCTAATATCTACAATTAGAATAAATAATTCACTCTTTCCACGATGCCAATTGTCAGCTTTATCATAACACTGGAGCCAGTGTTTCTTTAGTACTATGGAAAATTTTATAAAGTTAATAGAAATATATGTCCACATAACTTCAAAAAGAAAACCTATACCTGAAAGACGAAAAGTCAGTTGATCACAGCTAATGCAGTTAAAGGAATTAGAAGGGCCCTCTCAAAACCTAGTTTCTTGCTAAAAAAGCACAACTATGCAAAAAGGAAGGCTACTGGATGTACTATTTCTATTATTTAATAAGTTTTAATCAATAAATTTGTTATATAGTTTATAAAAAGTATAATTATCAAATTAATAAACTTGAATGAATTAATAAAACCTAATTCAGGAATATCCTAAATCCTCTGTTCCCAGATTCAAGAGCTTCTCTACTGCCATATAAGATCTTATATAATATTATAAGATATTATATAATATACAAAGTTATTACAGAGGGAAAAATCAAATTCCAAATGTGGAGAAATACAAATATCTGCTTATCAGAAAATCAAATCTGCTTTTAAAACAGTTTTAATATTCAAAAATTCAAAGTAACACGAAATGTTCTTATTAGATGTCATTATACTAAATATTTTCTTCCTTAACACTTCAGAAAAAAAAAAAGAAAAAAGAAAGAGCAACCAGATGAATGCTCACATTACCATAGGTTCTGTCCTTGCTTGGGAATGGTAGTCTCCACAGCCATTTCTACTGCTGATCCATGCTGTGTGTTAACAGTTGTGTTTTTGCCTAAGTTTGTTTTCTTACCTAAGAAGAATGTAACCATTAAGTTGATCATAGTAAATACTAATTCCTTGTTTCAAAACTAAGTACCCTATGCCAGGCCCAACAACTAACAACATAGATGCTGTCTATCAAATATGTGACATGTACAGTAGACACAAATTTCTCTTAAATATCATGCACAGTACATTATTTGAGTCAAATGGTCTCCAAATTATGATAATACAATTTACAACTTTTACATTTTATGATGATAGGAAAGTGATACACATCATCATATCATTAGAAACTGTACTTCAAACTTTTATTAATTTTCCCTGGGTCTGCAATATGCAATACAGCACTCTACTGCAATGCTGGGTAGTGTCAGCAAGCCACATATTCCCAAGGGTAAGTAATGATGGTTTACAGTGTGCTACAATGCTCCTAAGCCATGCTGTTTAGTAGGATATATGTACTAAATGAATTTTATTTTTTTAATTTTTTTTAGTTGTAGATGGACAATACCTTTATTTAACTTATTTATTTTTATGTGGTACTGAGAATTGAACCCAGGGCCTCCAAGTGCTAGGCAAGCGCTCTTCTACTGAGCTACAACGCTAGCCCTTAACTGTGTCTTCAACATATAATATTTTCAATTTCCAGTGGGTTTATGGGAACATAACTCCACAGGAAGTTAAGAAGTACCTGTATTTACTCTCTACAGTTGAACAGCTGTATAGTTAAAATTTTAAGAGTATAGTAACTTAGAACAGAGTAGAGGGATGACTAAATAACTTTACATCAAAGCAAATAAAGAATCCTTGGAATGGGACATAGCTCAGTGATAATGGCGCTTGCCTCAAATGACTGAGGCACTGGATTTGATTCCCAGTACTGCAAAAAAAAAAAAAAAGAAAAGAAAAGAAAAGAAAAAATGAATGTTCCTTTTAAATGATGTTAACAGCAAAGACACCTGAGAAGAAATGAAGATAACCAGAATATAGAAAATATTACATACTTAACCTTGGAGACTTCAAATGTCAAATAATAACCACTAACTTTTTAATAAATCAGTTCACATATATACATGTTTATGACCTTAATATAGATATATCTTAAGCCAATTTATCAAAGCCCAATTTAGAATACAATATTTTCATTCTGACTTAATACTATAATTTGTTCTCTCCCTGCCCCCATTCTCTTCCCCTTAACCTGAAGCAATTTCCATGAAATTCTACCATGTAATCCCGTGTAGTCTTTATAGTTGGGTAATTTTGAAGAGACAGTATCATCCTGGAACTAGAAAACACTAAACAAGAACATCCACAACACCAAGCACAGCATTACACACTCATAAATCCCAACTATTCAGGAGGCTGAGGTAAGAAGGACTGCCCATTTAAGGCCAACCTGGGCAATTTAGTGTGACCCTATCTTAAAAGGAAGGGTTGAGGGATGGGGAAGCAGGGGTGTGGGGATTTCTCAGTGGTACAGTGTTCCTGGGATCAATCCTAAGGAACAAAAGAAAACTTGCTGTACAAATAAAGGGATTTGGATGCCCAGTTCTCTCTTGGGGATCTCTTTAACTATGTAACCCTGATCTCTTTAACTATGTAACTGACATAAGGTTTTGTTGTTGTTCTGGCAGTACTGGATATGGAGCCCAGGGCCTTGAACGTACTAGGAAAGTGCTCTATCACTGTGATACCCCAAGCTGTCCGCCTAATCACTACCTGTTTTGGAATGGAAACTAGGTCCTTGCACGTCAGCCAAGTACTCTACCAACAAACTAAACATCCAGCCTTTTAAAAATTTTATTTTAGACAGGGTCCCACTATTGCTCAAGCTGATCTCTAATCTGCTGTCCTCCTCAAGAAGCTGGAATTACAGGTATGACAGACATGACCATGCCATGCTGCCACCTGGCTTTTGAAACACATTATAAAATAGACCTCTTTCAGTAATGTCTCCCGGTTCTGATGATCCTGACTCCACAGTTAACAGTGACCTCAGCTGGGTATTTATAAAGTCTATAAAAACTACAGTTTTTGACAAGGCGACATAATCTACACTTAATATAATTCAACATGAAAACACCTTACATTTGAAGTTTGGGAATATATAATAATATTAGTAGTTTTCTTATTAACAATTCTTTGAGTATGGGCTGTGGATGTGGCTTAGTGGTAGAGCATTTGCCTAGCATGTACAGGAACCTGGGTTCAATTCCTGGTCCTATCAAAAACAAACAAACAAAAAACCCAATTCTGTAAGTTTAAGTTTGGGTTAAGAGTTTCTCTAAAATGAAGTACTACTTAAAACATGAATATTTCTTAAAGAAATGTAATAATCTAATATGTGAGAAGCAATTTTCATTGGGTTCTACTAACCCAATGGTTCTCAACAGGGAGCAGTGCTTGGTTTTCACTACTGACATCCAGAGGCTATGGGAACTGCTAAACATCACATAAACATGGAACAGTTTCCACTACAAAGAATTCTCTGACTCAAAGTGTTAGTAACATGGAGGTTGAGAAGACCTAATCTGACCCACACATCCCATTTTTAATAATTAATTTTAGTTGTTGTTGGACCTTTATTTTATTTATTTGTATGGGGTGCTGAGAATCGAACCCAGTGCCTCACGGATGCTAGGCAAGTGCACTAACACTGAGCCACAACCCCAGCTCCCAAGCATCTCATTTTTAAAACTTAAAAAAAAAAAAGAGAAATTTCATTTCTTAAAATATATTCAACAGGTATACTTCGAGAAAGAATGAAAATACATATTCAGAAAAGTAATTTGCGTTTATTTTACAAACCCAACATGCTATATAAATGTGCCAAGATGAAGAAGACTGTCCAGGCCCCCTCATGACTCCCTCCCCACACACACCAAATTTTGTATTCTAAAGAGACAGGGTCTTGTAGTGTTACCCAGGCTGGACCTGAACAACATGGTTCAAATGACCCTCCCATCTTAGCCCCAAAGTAACTGGGACTACAGGTGCATGCCACTTTTGCCAATATTTAGTTATGTATTTGTTAGGTTTCTCTTTACCAGAATTTTTTTTTTAAACATTTTTGGGGGGCTGGGGTTGTGGCTCAGAAGTAGACCACCTGTCTAGCACGTGCAAGGCCCTGGGTTTGATCCTCAGCATCACATAAAAATAAATAAATAAAAGTATTGTGTCTAACTACAAATAAAAAATATTTTAAAAATCCATTTTTTGTAGTTGTAGATGGATACCTTTATTTATTATCTTTCACACGTGCTAGGCAAGCACTCTGCCACTGAGCTACAACCCTAGCCCTTTACCAGAATTTTAAATAACATTCCAGACCTTATCTGTCTTGTTTGGGGCTACATCCTCAGCACAGTAAAAATTGCTTTAAAGGGGAGGGAAGGGAGGAAGTTGAGGAAGTGTGCATGGGGGCAGGAAAGATAGTGGAATGAGATGGACATCAGTACCCTAGGTACATGTATGACCGCACATATGGTGTGATGCTACATCATGTACAACCTTAGAAATGTAAAGCTGAGCTGCAATTGTGTACAATGAATCAAAATGTATTCTGCTGTCATATATACCTAATTAAAATAAATCAATTAAAAAAAAGAAAGCCATTTCTTAGAAAGCTTTCTGAATACAACTCAGCAAAGAATAAATAAGAAAAAGCAGAAATAGTAAAATGTAAAAAATATTAAAAATGCTAATTATAGAATATTCTGCTTTATGAAACAAATATGGAGAAAGAAATCCCAAAAGGGAATCTTCTGTTGTAATTGCTGAAAGTACTAAAATTTTTCAGTCATATTTAAAAATGAAAATCTTTCGTAAATCCTAAATAAAAATTTAAAATGTAAGTAATATGTTGACTTAACATTTGCACTTAAGAGGACAAAACTGCTTTACATGCATTAGTGAATTCCTAGATTTCTCTAAATGACATGTACCAAGTATTATTATTATGAGTCCTCTGCTTTTTAAAAAATATTTTTAGTTGTAGTTGGATGCAATATCTTTATTTTATTTATTCATTTATTTGTTTATTTATATGTGGTGCTGAGGACTGAACCCAGTGCCTTGCACACGCTAGGCGAGCTAAGCCACAACCTCAGCCCCTAAACATTTTTTTTTTAAAGTTAGCTACAGTATTGAGATTTATTAGAGTGACTGTGAATGTACTATAGTATTGAGACATAATTAACATGCTTTTAAATGTTATTTACATATGGAAATGTTTCCTATGCTTGATCTTATTCCTAAATTATACTGTTTCCTATTTTTAAAAAATTTCTTTGTAGACAAGAGACGCTCCAAAATTCTTGAATAAATACTTTTAAAAGCAAAGAACGCGGAAACATATTTATTTATTTATTTATATTCTTTGGTACCAGAAATTGAACTTAGAAGCACTTAACCACTGAGCCACATCCCTAGCTCATTTTATTTTTTATTTTGAGAAAGGGTCTTGCTAAATTGCTTAGGCCCTCTCTAAATTGTTGTGGTTGACCTTAAACTCGAAATTCTCTTGCCTCTGCCTCCCAAGCTGCTGGGATAGAAGATATAACTCTGCTTTCTTAGTTCTTAACCTCAATTCTAAGCCCTGAAGCACCTATAAAGAAGTTTACAAGGTACAAAGTTTGAAAACTATGCCTATAAATATTTACTGCCCAAATATCCTAATATTCAAGCTATTTATCCTCTCAACAATAGTGAGAACAAAACTGGTAATAAAATGTGAATTTCTTTCCTTCTCTCTATGCATTCACAACCACTCACCTCACTAAATACTTCTAGCTTATTTTAAGGAAATGGAAAGGTAGTACTCCTTAATGTGGTGCCTACATGAGTTGGGTAAAACAAATATTGAGAGTCCCCACTTTAAATGGTTTGACTTAAAAATTTTAACTTTACAATGGTGTAAAGCAATACAAATGCAGTAGAAACGGTACTTTGAATTCTGAATTATGATCTTTTCCCAGGCCAGCAACAGGCAGTACTTATTCTCATGCAATGCAGAGCAGCAGCAGGCAGTCGCACAATCACAGGGGAAACACTGAGGCATCGCAGTGTGCTGTGCTGCCAAGCGGGATGCCTGGAAGTTTAGATGCGTTCAATGCATTTTCAACATGCAATCCTTTCAGTCTGTGATGAGTTTATTAGGACATGACCCTACCACAATTTGAGGGGTATCTAGAGTAGACAGGCTTACTTCGGGGATAGTAATCCTCATCAGGAGAGTCTGCACGGTCTTTGCGGCGATGGTTGAATCGGTAGTCAATACTGTCATGTACCCAGCCTTTCTCAATGAACAAACCCGGAACTTCATCTGAGAAGAGCCAGTATCTACAAATCACAATCAGTGTTAATCAGATAATGAATACATCAGGATGGGATGATTTTAATATTAGAAAAGCTGACTAGAGTATGACAAGCATTTGAAACTGCAGCTGATAGGACCTTTGTTCAAAATTGCAAACAGATAAAACTGATAAGGTAAAGCAGAGGACACCAAAATTTACTTAATGTCTATAATCTTTATAATTGCTAATTGCTATCTTTGGATTCCACACAATGCATGTATTTAAAATATATTACCAGGTTGGAAACTGTAGCTCAGTGATAGACTGCTTGCCTAGCATTTGCAAGGCCCTGGGTCCAACCCCCACTACTGCTAAAAAAAAAAAAATGTCTGAGAGTGTATGTTGTGTATAAGAAACTATAAGAAACTCTATTTGGAATACACTTCATCTTATTTTTAGTGACTTCAAGAGCCAGAAAACGCTTTTTTTTTTTTTTTAATTTTCTTAGTGGCAATGCTGGGAACAAACCCAGGGCCTCCTGAATATTGGGTAAACACTCTACCACTAAGCTACATCCCCAGCTGAGGGACACGTCTTATTTAACTTTATAACCCTGCATTTGGCATAGATAATGTTCAGTAAATGTATGATAAGCAATTATGTTTTCAATCAAAACTGGAAAATTGAATAGAAATGGTTATCTATTTTTAATGCTTTAGATAGCTTCATTAATCAATAACAAAAGAATCTCCCCATAAGATAATAAGAATCAAACTTCTTACCTATTATGGTTTCGATCTGTACCAATAGGAGTCCTCCGCATAACTAGCTTTGCCTTGGCAATCCCTTCCTGGAAAGCCTTCTCAGCCGCTGCCTTGTGCTTCCGGATTCGTTCTTCTTCAGCTTCACGTTCTAGTTTCACTGGTAAAGATAAAAAAGTGTCCATCAGTAGATGCTCAAGCCAGGTGTGGTGGTGGCTCACCTGTAATCCCAGCAGCTTGGAAGGCTGAGGAAGGAGGATCACAAGTTCAAAGCCAGCCTCAGCAAAATCGAGGTGCTAAGAAACTCAGCGGGACTCTGTCTCTAAATAAAATACAAAATAGGGCTGGGTATGTGGCTCAGTGATAGAGTGCCCCTGAGTTCATTCCTCAGTACCAAAAAAAAAAAAAAAAAAAAAAAAGATGCTCAGTCCGGTAAGGCACACACCTGTAATCCAAGCTGAGTCAGGATGGCCAGTTCAAAGCCAGTCTTAGCAGTTTAGCAAGGCCCTAAGCAACTCAGCAAGACCCTGTCTCTAAATGTATGTATGTATGTTTGGGGACGCAGCTCAGCATTCGTGGGTTCAATCCCCAGTACAAACAAATAACAACAACAAAAAAAAGGTAGATGCTCAGAGAACCTCAGTTTCTCTCTCCAAATTCTCATCTATGAAATGACATGTAAGGCAACAATTTCTTTTCGATCCTCCTATATTCCTCAAATTTTCATGAAGTCCTACTTACCAGTCACAGGATCCTCAAAAAAATCAGGATAAAAATAACTAATTAAATAACCACTTCAAAATAAAACATATTTCAGTCCTGAGGATTTAGACAGTAATTCAGCTTAATATCCTTGACAAGAAAAAAGAAGAGAAAGCTAGGACACAGAAACCCAGGTAGACAATTATAATCAGTGTCAGGGTGCTTGCTTATCACACATAAGGCCTTGGTTCAATCCTCAACACTGCGTGTACACACACACACACACACACACACACACACACACACGGGGGGGGGAACCTTTGTACACTGAATAACAGTTTTCTAATTATCTGGCAAGTCACTACTGTAAATGATGGAAACATTTTTAATCAGTTCACTTCTGTTTATTAATTACATGGGCTTATTCTATTCTGTTAGAAATTTCTTTCACCAGCATCAACCAAAAAAACCCCACTCACCTTGTCTTTTAAGTTCTTCCCTGTCACAAGTTGCTACTGAACAGTATAGAACACTGCTATTTACAATGTCGAATTTTTAAACTCTGATCCTCTACTGATAACATCTACAATATGGTGAGAATATGAAAAATCCATCTGTCAACAGAAGTTACTTTTAAAAATTAAGACAAATTCTATTTATGTAAATTACACGGAAGAGCTTGAGGGTGTGACTTAGTGGTACAGTGCCTGCACAGCATGCTTCAGGCCCTGGATTCGATCCCAGGCACTGAAAAACCAAAGCAAAAGAATGAAACATGGAATTTGTTACCTTTAAAAAATTAATCTTGACCTATGGACTGGTATTAGCCATAAATATGAGAGGTACGATGAAAAGAGACCATGTGGGCTGACTGTGTGGCTCAGCAGTAGAGTTAGAGCATTTGCAGTTAGTGTGTTAGAGACCCTGGGTTTGATCTCCAGCACACTAAAAGAAGATTCTTTGAAGAAAACACAGGGGTAAATCTTTACAATCTTGGATTAGGAATTGGATTCTCAAGGTATAACATCAAATCCATGAGCAACCAAAGAAAAAACATTTCAAAACAACCGGATCTCACCAAAATTAAAAGTACTTATGCCTGAAAGGGCACTATCAAGAAAGTGAAGACAACTCACAAAGTGGGCAAAAACATTTTACAACATGTGTTTAATAAGGGAGTTGTATCTAGAATATCTTTTAAAAAGTCTTGCAACTTAGTAAGTAAAAGACAACTTTGTTTTTGTTTTTGCAGGAAGCAGTACTAGGGATTGCACCAGGAATACTTTACCACTAAGTTATACCCCACGCCCTTTCGATTTATTTTTAGACAGGGTCTTGCTAAGTTGCTAGGCTGCCCTTTAATTTGTGATCCTCCTGCCACTGCCTCCTGAGTAGCTGGGATGATAGGCATGTGCCACCATGCCCACAAAGTTAATTCAGATCTTTTGCCCAATTTAATCATGGGGAAAGATCTGAAATTAACATTTCTCCAAAGATACACAAATAGCCAATAGGAACATCCCTAGTCATGTAGGAAATGCAAATCAAAATAATGAGATATCAATTCACTCCCACCAGGATGGCTATAACCATGAAGACAAAAACAAGTATTAGTGAGGAAGTGGAGAAATCAGAATCTTCAGACACTGCTGGTAGGAATAAAGTTATGCAGTCACTTTATTAAAACAGCCTGGCAGTTCCACAGCAATACCATTCCTAAAGATGTACCCCCCCCAAAAGAGAAAATATATGTCTACAGAAAAACTTTTGTCCTAATATTTACAATAGCATTATTCACAATACCCCAAGGGTTGAAACAACCCAAAATGTCCACTGACGTTCTGGAGGAGAAACAGAAGATCTTATGAATGGCTTCCTTAATGAGGCATGTTTTTCTGTTTGTTTACAGAACTGAGAATTAAACCCAGAAGTGCTCTACTACTGAACTATGTCTACAGTCATTTTTATTTTTTATTTTGAGTCAAGGTCTTACTAAGTTGCCCAGGCTATCCTTAAGCTTGAAATCCTCCTGTCTCAGCCTCCCAAGTAGTTGAGAGTACAGACATGCACAAATGCACCTGGCAGGCATAAGCTGTACATGCGACAGCATGGTGAACTTCTGAGACATCAAGCTAGGTGGGGAGGAAAAGTCACAAAAGTACTTATTATTTGACTATTGTTACGGTTTAAATATGAGGTGGCCCTCAAAATCTCACGTGTGAGACAATCTAAGAAGGTTCAGAGATAAAATGATTAGGTAACGAGAGTTATAACCTAATCAGTGGATTAATCCATGACATGAGTCAGTTGGGTGGTTAACTGCAGGCAGGTAGGGTGTGGGCTGGAGGAAGCAGGTCACCAAGGGGTGACACTGTGCCCCTAGTGAACAGAGCTCTCTCTGCTTCCTGGTTGCCATGCCCTGAGCTGCCTTCAATTGCCAGACCCTTCCACCATGATGTTGTTTCATCTTGGGCTCACAGCTATGCAGCTGGCCAACCAGGGACAGAATGTCTGAAACTGTGGGCCATAATAAACTTTCCCTTCTAAGTTGTTCTTGTCAAGTCTTTTGGTCACAGCAACACAAAGCTGACTAAAACAATTCCACTTATAGGAAACGTCTAGAATAGGCTACTTATGGCTCCAGAAGACGGGTAAATGGGGTGACAATAAGCTAAGGGGAGTGGGGTTTCTTTTACAGGTAATGAAAATATTATATAATTGTAGCAATGGTTATACATATCTGTGAGTGCATTTTAAAACACTAAATTGTATATGATAAATGGGTGAATTGTGTGTTGTGAGAATTATTTGATAAGATTTTTTTCTTAAAAGTTCAGATCTGGGGGCTGGGGTTGTGCGAAAGAGTGCTCACCTAGCACGTGTGAGACCCTGGGTTCGATCCTCAGCACCACAAAATAAATAAATAAATAAATAAAAATAAAGGAATGTGGGGCTGGGGTTGTGGGTCAGTGGTAAAGTGTTCACCTAACACGCATGAGGCCCTGGGTTCGATCCTCAGCAACATATAAAAATTAAATAAATAAAATAAATAGTTCAGATCTGATGGTGCCATCAAAGCCCAAGATTTTTTTAGTTCTTAAATAATAATAAAGGAAAATCATTATCTCAGTTGGCAACTGTGCTAAGGGCTTCAAATACCTTGTCATTCAATCTTACCAAACATGAGAAAAGTATGGCATGGATAAATAACTTGCCAAAGAAATACAGCAAAAAGGATTCAAACCCAAGTCAGCAATTCCAAAGAGCAATCTGCTGTTTTCAATATGTCTATATGTGGGTTTGGGCATTTATCAAAACCAGAAAAGATGCCACCATGGCATTAACTTATCATCAACTGCAGAACTCTAGGCCAAACAGTCTAAAATATTACAAGCCTAGACCTAGGACTACAGCTCTGGGGGAGAGTGCTTGCCTGGTGTGTGCAAGACTCTGGGTTCAATCCCCAGCAACATCCACACACATAATATGATTATATAATATATATTACATACCTAGCTCGTTCTGGGTTGTTACAGAAATAAGCAAATAATTGACAGAGACATCCCATTTCTCTACGAACTTCCCATCTCTTACCATCTTCTAAAGGCCTTCCCTTTTCTCTGGGTGTAAAATCTTACCTTTCATTTCCCTTTCCTGGATCTCCCGTTCCCTCTTGGCCTGCATGGCAAGCAGCCTTCTGCTCTTCACAGCACTAATCATGTCTTCAGCTTCCATATCTACCTGGGGCTCAAACTTTACAATTTCTTTTTTCCTATCAGTTTTCCCTAACCCATTTTCCTCTTTGCCATTTTCTTTATTTCTGGCTTCCATTTCTTTCCGCTTCTGTTTCTCTGCTCTCTTCTTGTCGTTCTCCTCCTTCAACACAGCAAGCCGCTCCTTCCACAGCTCTGCAGACATCTGCTGTCTGGTCTCCATGTGGTCTTGTACTGAGTACGTCATGAGGATCCGGTGGCACAGTGCTGTCAAGATCTGCAGCTTCTCCTCTGATGTTAGCTCAAAAAACTCAGAGGTTTCCAGCTTCTCTAAGAACTCATCTTGTACCTCGTTGTCCTCAAATGGTGCCGAGTCTTTATTGTCATCTGTGTCTGAGCCCTCACTTTCCTCCTGGGCATCTGACCTGCGCAAGCAGAGCCGAACCAGCTCTGAAACAGAGTGCAGAGTGAGCGGGATTTCTGACAGCTTCATTCCCAATTCACCATAGTCTTCCGCTATTTCGTCTTGTAGTAAGGTCTGTAGCAGGATGACCAAAACTCTATTCAGGTATAAAAAGCCACCCTTATCTGCACTCAAGGCTTCCATTAGGGACACAGCAGTAATAGGATACTGAGCATCTGGTAAGAGTAGCCCAGAATAACAGCTCAAGAACTCTACCACTAGGGCCACATCCCCAAAGAGGGTGTTGGGCAGCCCTTCAGGGGTATCCACCAATCTAAATGTTGGAAGACTTTTGCCATTTAACTCTTGGTCCTCATACCGCTTCTGCTTTTCTAATTTCTCAAGCATTTCCTTCTCTCTTCTTTCTTTGGCTTTTTCCTTCAACTTTTCTTTTAGTTCCTGTCGTTTCTTCTTCAAATATTCTTTTCGCTGCTCTTCAGACATAGAGGCCCACCTCTTCCTATGCTCTAGAAGCTCATAGCGCTTTTGTACAATAGTTCTCAATTCTTCCGGGAGGCGAGCCCTATCTTCACTGGAAAGAAGACGAGCTGTTTTGGAGATAACACAGGACAGGGCACTCTTCTTGTCCTCACGGTCTTTGTTTTCTTTGTAATAGGCAATCAGATGCAGAGCAGCAGGAGGCAAGTGTTTATGAGGTTTACTGGAGGACCTCGGTGTGGCCCCAGAATTCCGGGGGGCTCGTGTCATCTTCTGAGTGCCTTTGGCCATATCCAACAAAGTCATCTGCTTCATTTTGGTTTTAGGAGTCTTTAAACCCTTTTTGGGAGATTTGGCATTCCCTGTGGATTTCTGTCCATTCAGGATGCCTTTGCTCCTGCCCTTAGCCTTCAAAGGTTTATCACTGTGCTTCCCTGGTTTCTTCGTTGGTGGGCCTTTTTTAGGAATGTGAAAGTTGGCATGTAACTTGTTGGGTGACATCATCTTCATCATTTCTTCCAGATGTTCTTCTGGAGATCTGGAATTCTTTGAGTTCTTCACTTTGAGTGGTGAGCCATTCAATGATTTTTTCAAATGTACATGACACCATAACTTAGGATTTAATGGTGAACTCAAAGAACTATCTGCCTTGGATTTCTTTGAGGGCTTCCTATCTGGGGATCCAGTATTCTTCCTCTTAGTAGAAGGGTTGAGAGTCATATACTAGAAATTAAGAATAGGGAAAAAATTAATTTTAAATATTAAAAAAATCAATGTCATAAAGGCCCTCATCCTCAGGTATTCAAGTAAAACTATATATTCACTTCTCTTCATAGACACTGTCCCTGAAAAAGCAAAGACATTATTGTTAGCTAATGTTTTTGCCACATCAATACAAACATCTCTGAATAACCAGATTTACAAATCTATACTGTGGGACTGAAAGTGCAGCTCAATGATAGAGTACTTACCCAGCATACATGAGGCCCAGGGTTCGAGCCACAGCATCAGGGGAAAAAGTCTACACTCTGAGATTAAACCATTTGTTTATTTGCTTACTTTGTGCCAAGGATTGACCACAGGGCCTCACACATACCAGGCAAGTACTATATCACTGATCTACATCACCAGTCCCTGATATTAGACGTTTTTGCTACATAAGTAGCTCTATGTATTCTTAAATATTTCAATGAAATCTGTGAACCTTATCCCTGGAAACAACACATAAAAACTATGCATATAATTTCGGAGACCATCACCCACAGGCACCAGATAAGGAATAACTAAAAAACAGTAATACTTGAGTAATTTTAAAAGCACTGCCCTTGGGCAGGGGGGAGTGTAGTGGTAAAGTACTGACCAAGCATGGTGCAGGGTTTGAGGCCCAGAACTTCCAGAAGAAGAGAACTGCTATGAAGTAGGACTGGATTTTAATGCTTTAAACTTTTATTCTGGATCACAGCATGCTATGATCTTAAGTATAAAGTGTAATATTCAAAATTTTTGTCTAAATTCAGGCATCTTTTATTAATAAAAGTATCCATAAGTATAATAAAAATATAAAAACTGCTCACAGATAAGGAAACCTCCTGACCTTGGTTTCTCAAACTCCTCTCTGTCCTTTCCCTGTAACTGAGTAACTCATTTCCATGAATACATTTAACTATGAGCTGTCTAAATTCTCATTAATTTCATACCATTTTCTCTTTGAACAGCCTATATTTCTCAAATTCTCTCCCACTAGTACTCCAACCACACAATCCTCCAATCTCCCAAGACTTTAAATCCATTTATTTTATTACATTTTCACCACCCTCAACCTCTTGTCCTTAAAGAGAGGGGTCTTGATATGTTGCCCAGGTCCCTGCCTCAGTTCCTGAGTAGCTGGCACTACGGATGCACCACCTGGCTCTGCTCATCCTTCTTTATCCAGTTTAAATTCCAGTCATTTAATCAATCTTAATTTAAATATACAATTCCCTTGTCTCTCTTCTTCTATTATATTTACCTGGAAAAACCATAATCCTGACTGGTTCACATTTAGCTCTAACATGGCTAGGATAAAATACACAAGTAGCCTCTCTCCAATTCTACCACCAGGCAACTGAAATGGGGACTCCCGACAGGCCCCTGTTCATGGTGTATTCCCTTAGCCTACTCCTCTTCCCTGTCTCCTAGAAACGTAGCTTCTCCTACCTACTCTCACCCCTCCATCTCCATCACACATAATTGGTTAATAGGTTAGAACCCCTTCCATTTGTCACAATACCACTCTTTCTCTATTTAAATGTGTTCTTCACCCAGGCACATACCCCTATAATCCCAGTGACTTGGAGGCTGAGGCAGGATAATCACAAGGTCCAGGCCAGTGCCAGCAACTTTATTGAGGCCCTAAGACAACTTAACAACACCATTTCAAAATAAAAAATAAGAAAGATTGGGGCAACTCAGTGGTAAAGCAACCCAGTAGCAAAACTAAATAACTAAATCTGTACTTTAAAAATAAAACCATCTGATTTTAATGATTTAAAGATTGTAATTACAAACAAAAAAGAAAAGACTTACAACTAAAACATAAACTGAATGAAATACCAAGCAGTGCAAAAACTATAGCCTATTTCAGAAAAAGTTTTAAGAGGATCGAAAGACTACATAACCTACAGAATACCTGACTTCTGCTGCCAAAAGGAGTTTTACAAACACACAAAATTCCGAAACTTCAAGTTTTTTAATAGGTCTAACTTGAGAAAAGCAACATGTAAAGAAGCAGCCTGGAGACAGTAGGTATGACAAGCTAGTATAAAACAAGATTGCAGGCAAACCAATCCCCCAGCCAGAGACTACGGAATATGAAATCAGAAGCCACTAAAAAAGGCTACAGGGAAATAGCTAAGGTAAAATAAAGAGAGAACACTGAAGAATCCCTATGCTCTTAGAAGTAAAGCAAAAGATGTAGTAAAATTTAATAAACTGTGACCAATGAAAACTCAAAACACTAGGGCTGGGAATGTATGTAGCTCAACAGTACAGCACTTGCCTAGCATGGGTTCAGGCCCTAACGATACACAACAACAAAACAAAAAAACAGAATGAAAAAATTTAAACATTAAAGGCAGAATCATCAGAGAAACAGAAACAGCAATACAAGACTTCTATAGAAGTAGGGTGTGCTCTGCATGAGTAAGCTACGCTTAACAAATTTCTCTTCTGGCTAAATTTTCTTTCTTTTTTCTTCTGGCTAAATTTTCTAACTTTAAAAGCCAATCTGCCTTCTAAGAATTATACTGACTGCCTTTTTGTTTTCTGTTTAAAACTGGATGTTTTGTTTCCCAGTGATCCTCAGGACAGGCTGACGAAGAGGTATAGTGCTTAAAAGAACACATTTCCCCAATACAGAATTTCCCTGTCCTAGCTCCCCAGGACAAATTTGAAAATGTTAAAAATAAATAAGTAAGTAAAGAAAAGTAAGTTATTTCACAAATTCCATTCTCCTGCTGGACACTAATTATAAGTACTTTAAAAAGAATACTATATCAGAAAATACCCTCTAAATCACAGAGAAAGATCCAACACTACCTGGTCAGGAACTAAAAACAAACATGTTGTCTCCCAAAGTGAACCATCTTATTCAGGCAACCTTGGAAAATATCCATAGCACAGCCATAAAAAGTGATAATGTTTCTAATGCTCAGAACAAGCTATTGCTTAAAAATTATCCTAAAATAAATTTAGTATTGAAAAAGAGAATAATGAGACTGTTGTAAGGTGTGGGCTTTTTTTGTGTTTGTGTGTGTATGGACAAACCACACCATAAATTTGTATTTCTTTTTCTTTTTCTTTACTTTTCTTTTTTTTCTTTTGAGAGAGAGAGAGAGAGAGAGAGAGAGAGAGAGAGAGAATTTTAATATTTATTTTATTTTTTTTTTTAGTTTTCAGCAGACACAACATCTTTGGTTGTATGTGGTGCTGAGGATCGAACCCGGGCCGCATGCATGCCAGGCGAGCGTGCTACCGCTTGAGCCACATCCCCAGCCCCATAAATTCGTATTTCTGAAAAATGAAAAAAATGAAAAAAATGAACTCACCCAACCCCCTCCCAATAGGCCGGCTCCCGCGTGAGCAGTCCTTCAGTAACTGGGTCATCTCAGCATGGGTATGCTGGGGAGTCACAGCCCAAGGGAGCCGGCACGGCTGGACTCAGGGGGATCTGAAAAAGCATAAAACCACTTATGTGCTAAGGGTCTCCCCTCTGCCCCACTCTGCGCAATTCGCCTTCTAGACTAGTATAACGGCAGGGAGAAGAGAAGAATGAATACCCAGATTGGCAGGGTCAAGGCCCTTCCTAATTGCCAAACAGGTAATCATACTTATGAGTGTTCTCAGCAATGGGGGAGGCAGAAAAAACAAGGGTATACACAATCCTACATCTGTCCTGTTGCGTAGAACATGCCACCATCATAAACACCATGTTTGTTGGTAAAAAGTAAAATAAAAAGTGAAGAAACCATTTATAACATCTAAAATGCTGAATTTAATAATAAGCAGTATTATCTAATATACAAAATCTTAGATTAGAAAACTCTGGCAATCAATACCAGACTCTTACTTCATTCTTCTCATGTTTGGGATCTGAGGGCAATCTCAATCTCTATATGCATTTGTCAGCCAATTTTCTAAATGTGTTACTCTGAAGTATTTTTAAAGAATTTTGAAAATAATATTCTTTCTCTTTATTTATTTTATTTTCTATGGTGCTGGGGTTTGAACCCAGGGTTTGGAGCACGCTAGGAAAGCACTCTGCCACTGAATTATATCCCAAGCCCCTGTTTGTTTGTTTAAGTACTTCTGCTTTTGTCTCTAACTCAAGAGGGAACCTTAAAGGCAAAATTTTAATTAAGAAAAATCTTAGCCAGGTACAATGACCCACATCTATAATCCCAGCTATCTGGGAGGTTGAGGCAGAAAGGTTGCAAGTTTGAGGCCAGCTTCAGCAAGGAAGGGAGGGAGGGAGGGAGGGAGGGAAAAAAAACAGAAGAAATCTTAGAGCTAGGAACCTACTTAAAAAGCTTGTTATTAGGACAAGTGAGAATTATATTTTAAAATGCATTTCAACCATTAGTAATGGGACAAATTAAAATTATATTAGGTGCCTTCTGATTTGATCTTCTGAGAAAAATATATCCATTCTGTGGTATTCCTAATCTGAACCTAATAAGAAAACAAACCCAAATCAAAGGGCATCCTACAAAATAACTAGTTCATGTTATTCAAAAATGCCAAGGTTGGGGCTGGGGTCTTGGCTCAGTGTCAGAGCGCTTGCCACGCACATGTGAGGTACTGGGTTTGATTCTCAACACCACATAAAAATAAATAAACAAAATAAAGATATTGTGGGGCTGGGGTTATGGCTCAGCGGTAGAGTGCCCGCCTCGCATGTGCAAGGCCCTGGGTTCGATCCTGAGCACCATATAAAAATAATAAATAAACAAAGAGTTAAAAAAAAAAAAAAAAAAGATATTGTGTCCATGTATAACTAAAAAAATATTAAAAAGGGGCTGGGGTAGCGGCTCAGCTGTAGAGCGTTTGCCTAGCACATAAGACGCCCTAGGTTTAATCCCTAACACCACATAAATGAATAAAATAAAGAGTTATTAATATATATTAATATAAACATACATATATTTTTAACACCAAGGTTAGCTGAATAGGGTGGTATACACCTGTGATCCCAGCTACTCAAAAGGCTGAAGCAGGAGGATCTCAAGTTTAAGGCCAGCCCATACAGCTTAGTGAGACTCTGTCTCAAAACAAAATAAAAAGGGCTCAGGATGTAGTTCAGTGAGTAAGGTCCTGGGTTAAATTTCCAATACTAGCCAGGTGTGATGAGGCACACCTGTAATCCCAGTGGCTCAGGAAGCTGAAGCAGGAGGACTGTGAGTTCAAAACTAGCATTAGCAATTTAGCAACATCCTAAGCAACTTGCAAGATCCTGTCACAAAATAAAATATTAAAAAGGGCTGGTGATGTGTGTGGCTCAGTGGTTAAGTACCCCTGGGTTCAATGCTCAGTGCAAAACAAAACAAAAGGAAGGGATGACAGAGGCTTTTATTAGGCAAAATTTGAGTTATAACTGCAGATTATTGTATTGTTTCAATGTTAATTTCCTGATTTTGATAACTATACTACAGTTATATTAGAAAATATCCTTATTTTCAAAAAGCACATATTCAGGCTGGGTGTGGTGGTGTGTACCTACAATCTCAGTGACTCAGGAGGCTGAGGCAGGAAGATCACAAGTTCAAAGCCAGTCTTAGCAACTGAGTCAGACCCTAAGTAACTTAGTAGGACCCTATCTCAAAATAACAAAGTAAAAAGGGTGAGGATGTGGCTCAGTGGTAAATTGCCCCTGGGTTACATTCCCAGTAAACTTACACACACAAAAAAAGAAACACATATTCAGGTATGTTTTAAGAGGACATCTAGATTTATACTTAACTGGGTTATATTAAGTTATGATAAAGGTTATAATATTCAAGAAATGTTATTGAATACATGGAAATTCTTTAGTATTCCAACAATTTCTTATGAAATTACTTCAAAATAAAATGCTTTTAAAATGTAGTAAGAAAAATGCTAAAAAAAGGTCCAAATTATTTCAGGATTCCAAATGTCCTTTTTTCCCCCTAATATTTACTTTTTAGTTTTAGGTGGATACAATATCTTTATTTTATTTTTATGTAGTGCTGAGGATCGAACCCAGTGCCTCACATGTGCTAGGCGAGCACTCTACCACTGAGCCACAACCTGAGCCCTCCAAATGTCTTTTTTCACAAATGTCTTTTGATCTAGAATTTATATGACCAACAGTCATCAAAAAAATTTTTCCGGATGTTTTTAGAAGTATCATTTTCTTCTTATTTCTTTACTCAAAGGTTTCCCTATTAGCACCCATCATTACAAAGATAGAGTTCAAACATTATAGAGAAACTAAGAAAAAAATAGGGCTGTTGCATAGGTAGAGGGAAATGAGCAGCTAAGATGGCAGAAGAGAAATCATTTTAGCATCTAGTTGCTTTGTAAATCATTCTTCCAAGTCATTAGGCCTATAAAAACTTAGCTAGCCCCAAAACCCAAATGTCAGTGGCATTTTTCTTAACAAATGACTTCTTCAAGAAATGAATTAAACAGCCATATGCCCATTATATGCAATGTGCCATGCCAAACTTACAGGATACAAATTGAGTAAGTCAGGTAGAACTTAAATTCTAGAAAGGGTTTACAAGACCACAAAACACAGCCTCATCATTATCATCACACTAGGCCCCACTCAACGCTCCTGTTTGTCTAGGTAATTCTGTACTCTCCAACTTGAGCACTCTCCCACTGATCCTTTCCTAAAGCTGATGCTCAGAACTTGATTCCTCTTCCCAGGACACACCTTGCTCTCTAGCAGCTGTATTCAATAGCCTGGTAGGAAATTATATTTTACAAAAATCAAAGAGGAGACAGAGAAAATTTTGCATGCCTTTGGGAAGGGTGGATAACACTCATTATATTATTTTAAACTTCCTTTAAATGAAGAAAGAATCCAAAGCACTGTTTCATGGTCTACTTATCTGGGTTCACTATTCTGTTCTACCCTGATAAGATATCAGAGGCCCTTTAAGAAAACTAATTTAAGAAAGGAAAACACATAGCTTATATGCAAAACATAGAAGACAATCAGTGAAATGTCAAACAATGAGTATCACAGAGTAAGAAATTACTGCTTTCAGGTATAGAAAAAGAAAATAAAGATGTGTACATGCTCCTGATTTTATAGACCAGTATTTTATATGAGTCTCAATTTCTAAGTAAAATCACTCACTGCCTTTATACAGTAGCTTAATATAAGCAAGCATGCACATCCTAATTGCAATCTGAATTATAGCTAAATTTAATAACTAGTGATTTATGCCCTCATTAAAAATTTTTGAGAATAGCAGTTATCTTCAGAGATTTCCTTGGGATGTAAGTAAACAGAATTCTAATCTCTGGCTCCTACATAATGTTGAGCTCAGCTTTTTTCTCTTAATAAGCCAGAAGACCTCTTACTCATAAATAGTAATCTCGTCATGTTATTTATATACTTGAATCACTAAACATAAACAATTTTAAAAATACATAAAAATATAGCTGTAAGATTTTAAAAAACTAAGATTTTAAGGGCTCAAGTTATCCAAAGTCTAAATCCCACTCAGAGGTGAACTTATATAAGGATTTTCATATAGTTAATTCTGTGTGATAACCACAGAAAGCTGTATCATCTGTGGCAATAAAATGACACTGAGCTCCAATCTTCTTAATACAAATATTTTTTTTAAATTTCAGACTAACTATCATTCATGGAACTTTTCATTCTGATCTAGAATAAGCTAATTCATAAATGAGTCTTTATTAGAAAATAATAAAAATGTAAGACATGATAGATGATAATGTTCAACGATGCTGGTCTAGAACAACACTTGCTAAATGCTGAAATATGGGAGGAAGTCTGTGTGTGTGTGTGTGTGTGTGTGTGTGTGAGAGAGACTGTCTTGCTGGGAACTGAACTCGTGTCTTATGCTCTACCACTGAGGTACAGTCCCAGCTTGGGAAGAAATCTTTACCAATGTTCTACAGAAATAAAATTAGTTTTCAATATATTTATGTCAACATAATTAATGTAAGATAATTAAGGTTGTTTAGTTATTAATTATGACTTGAAGGGTTCTTAATTTTTAATAATTAAAAGAGGGAGGGGGTTGGAGTTGTAGCTCAGTGGCAGAGCACTTGCCTAGCACATGTGAAGCACTGGGTTCAATCTTCAGCACCACAAAAAATAAATAGGTAGGTAGGTAGATAGACAGATAGATAGATAGATAGATAGATAGATAGATAGATGTGATTTGAAAAAAAAGAAGGGGAGATAGTTTAGTGGCAGAGTACTTGTCTACCATGTACAAGTCCCTGGGTTCAATCTTCAGTACTGCCAGAAAAAAAAGCAGAAAAGGGAAGAAATCCAAAAGTCTGGCATTGTTTTAATGTTTTGTCTCTGGTGCTGAACCCAAGGCCTCAAGAATACACACACTCTCCCAGTGGGATAGACTCTGAACATGTCCTAATCCTATTCTGATCTAAAGACCAAAATGAAAATATCAGCCAGTAAAGTTAAATTTAAAGTTAAATTTACCAACAAAAGAAACATGAGAAATCTAAAAAATCTACATTAAAAAAAAAGAATTTGGGCTGGGGATGCAGCTCAGTGATGGAGCACTTGCCTAGCATTTGAGAGGCTCTATGTTTGATGCCCAGCACAGCCCCACCCCCTAAATCTTATTGGAAGAACTCTGAGACAGAAAAGACAATCATCCTAGGCCAAAGTCTGGGATCTTGTTATCCACTTCTAATTAGAATGGATCTCAGATTCCCCATCTGTAAAATAATACATACACTATACAATTTCATAAAAATGTTCTGAAGATAAAATGAGATGATTCAAGGGAGAAAATATCATTCTGAAGAGAAAGATGCTAGATTTATTTACTACTAACATATCACTCAAAGTAATATAGTTTCCAGGTTTTTTCCCACAGCTGCCAGTAATAATTGATCATCTTGCCTGATATACAAAACAAAGTTTTCATTTTAAGAATCCATTCACAAAACATTTTTGTTTCCAAAAAGAATATAAGAGGGAAAAAAAATGTTGTATAGTTTTACTTTTTCAATTATTCATACATAGCAAAAAATAAACCAAATTAAGAGAAGCTATTCAATGTGCCCCCCCTTACAGCCCCCATTATCACAGCCTAATGAAACACATATCTGGAAATTTTCAAAATCATTATATGATGTTAGATTTTAAAATCTGGCCAGGCACAATGGTGCACATCTGTAACGCCAGCTGAGGCAGGAGGAGGACTTTAAGTTTGAGACTACTCTCAGTAACTTAGTGAAACCTTTTCTCAAAATAAGGAATAAAGGGCTAGTGATGTGGCTCAGTGATGTAGCACCACTGGATTCAATCCCCAGTACCAAAAGAAAAGAAAAAAAGAAAATTCAAAATCTGCTATAATCTAATCTTATTGGAGTCAGAGAGAATAAACTCATCTACTAGTGCTTTATTCTGCTATCCCAAAATTAATAGTGACCTTACCTTATATGGATCAAGTAAAAAGTCACTGAACTTGCTAGGCAAGGAATATTTCTTCACCAATTCATCTTCTACCACCCAAGGTGCATTTTCACCAGTACCAGCACGTAGAGCATTATGCCGTATAAAGTATCGAAGTATCTCCTTATTTGGTGGGCGCTCTGTGCGAATCAAGCTATCTGCTGGCACATTGCTGATGATCTAGGTGAAAAATAATAAATAACTCACCACTAGGATACCATGGCAATTAACCAATAAGAACAAAAATTTACATCTTTTCCAGAAAACACAATTCCATCTATGAAATAAGGTTATAAATTAGAAGAAAGAGCAGAATAACATTTAGAGATAAAATGTCTTACTTTAAAGATATCCCAAGGCAATTTGTTGATATTACCTAAAAATGTGAATACCCTTCAAACCCATAATTCCTCAGTTAAGAATTTACCCTGGGGGGCTGGAGATGTGGCTCAAGAGGTGGCTCGCTCGCCTAGCATGCGTGAGGCACTGGGTTCGATTCTCAGCACCACATAAAAATGAAATAAAGATATTGTGTCCACCTAAAACTAAAAAATAGTAGAGAGCTTACCTAGCACGTGTGAGGCACTGGAATTGATTCTCAGCACAGCATATAAATAAATAAATGAAAAAATAAAGGCCCATCAACAATATATTTAAAAACAACAATAAAAACAAAACAGAATTTACCTAAGCATGTAAATACAGAAATTTTCAACTACTTTTAACATCAAAAAGTGGTGCTGGGCTGTGGATATAGCTCAGTAGTAGAGCACTTGTCCAGTATGTACAAGGCCCTGGGTCTGATTCCCAGCACACACACACAAAAAAAAAAACGGAGGAAGGAGAGTAATTATTACACAAAAGTTCATCAATATGAGACTCTTTCTCTCCTTCTTTCTTTCAGTACTGAGAATTGAACCCAGGGGCACTTAACTACTGAGCCACATCCCTAAACCCTGTTTTGTATTTTATTTATAGACAGGGTCTCACTGAGTTGCTTAGGGCCTCACTAAGTTGCTGAAGCTGGCTTTAAATTCTTGACTCTCCTGCCCCAGTCTCCAGAGCCAAGCTGCTGGGATTATAGGCATGCGCCACCATGTCTGGTTAAAACGCATTTTTTAAAATTAAAATACATATACATAATGGAAATCTTGTACCCTTGAAAAAAACAAAAAGTTTCTCAATCAGGACAAATTCACCCAAATCACCTAGGGTAAAAGGAACTGTTTGGGCCTCCCCACAAACTTAATGAGCCAGAAGGAGCTCTGGAGGTAAAGTCAGGAACGTACATATTTAATAAGCATGCCCTACTGACTATCCCACACACTACAATCTAAGAGCAATGTTCTGAAAGAAAAATTAATGACAACAGATGCTGACCAAACAGTAAATTTTTAAAAGTAAATTACAAAATAATATAGAATATTCCTACTTTCAAGTCACTTAAGAATTGACCACCATTAATCAGATCAATAGTCACCAATTATCTGAGTTTGAGATTAAAGATCATTTTTTTCTTATTTGCATTTTCTATCTTCTAATTAACCAATATTTACTACCTTTGAGCAAATCAACTTACACTCACCAATCAAAACCTGAATGAGAGAAGTGGTTGAGATTTTAGAATGTTTTAACTAGGTGCTTGCTGAATAAGAGGCAAGAAACTTAATGAAAAATTGTATTTAACCTTCAAATATAGAAATCCTAATAATCTAGTCATTTCTGCAGATCACTAATTATACCACAAATGAGTCACAATGGTGTGAGATTTGTCAATATTTTGAGATGGGAAAAAAACATTATAAACAAAGAGGCAAAAGAACTGCAATATAGCCCAGGAAGTTGGCCCACGCCTGTACCAGAGACTTGGGAGGCTGAGGTAGAAGGATCACAAGTTCCAGGCCAGCCCTGGAATGAGACCCTGTCTCAAAATAAAAAATAAAAAGGGCTGGGGTTCTAAGGTTATTGAGTTGGGAGAGTCCCAGGCCAGACATTATCAGTTATTTTGTTACTATTTGATTGGCAAATCAGGTGACTTATAAATAAAAGCTAATAATGTTATGTAACTCTGTGTATCATACAAAATTGCTTCTACTACTCTTATACTAAGTAATAAAGTAATAAAGATTTTGTTCTAGTGAAAAAAAGGGGGTGGGGCTAGGGTTGGGGCTGCAGTTGTATCACAGCAGCAGAGCACTTGCCTAGCACATTGAGGCACTGGGTTTGATTCTCAGCACCACATATAAATAAGTAAATAAAATAAAGATCTACAAAAACTAAAAAATATTAAAAAAAAAAAAAAAATGGCTGAGGGACCAGGAGTTTGGGAAGCTGAGATAGGAGAATCAAGAGTTCAAAGCCAGCCTCAGCAACTAGAAGGCACTAAGCAACTCAGTGAGATTCTGTCTCTAAATAAAATACAAAATAGGGCTGGGGCTATGGCTCAGGTGACTTATAAATAAAAGGTTGAATGCCCCTGAGTTCAATCCCCAGTACCCAAAAAAGAGGGAGTGCTAGGGATCTGAGATGTAGTTCTGTGGTAAAGTGCTCGCCTTGCAGGTGTGAAACCCTGGGTTTGATCTACAGTTCAAAAAGAAAGAAAGAAACACACACACACACACACACACCCTTTTAGCTGGATGTGGTGGTCCATGCCAGTAATCCCAGTGGCCTGGGATGCTGAAGCAGGAGGATATCACACTCAAAGCTAGCCTCAGCAACTGAGTGAAGCCCTGCCTCAAAATAAAACAAAAAAAAGGCTAGGGATGTTAGCCAAGTGTGGCTGCACATATCTGTAATCCCAGTGGCTTGGGAGGCTGAGGCAGGAGAATCATGAGTTCAAAGACAGCCTCAGCAATTTGGAGAGGCCCTAAGCAACTCATGAGACCCTATCTATAAATAAAATTCAGAAAGGGCTGGGGATGCAGAACAGTGGTTAAGCATCCCTGGGTTCAATCGCTAATACCCTCCCTCCCCCCAAAAAGCTAGGGATGTGGTTAAGAACCGCAGGGTTCAATACCTGGTACTAAAAAAGAAATGAAAAAGGCATGGGGGCTAGGGATACAGTTCGGTGGTAGAGCACCCCTGGATTCAATCTCCAATTCCACAAATAAAAAAGTCCCAATTCTAGACACAATAAAATCATAAAAACTAAGGCTGGGGCAGGTGTAGTTCAGAGGTAAAACACTTGGCTAGCATGTATGAAGCCCTGGGTCCAACCATCACACAACTCCCCACCCCAACAAAATTTATATATAGGGGCTGAGAAAATACAAAATCCAGAGCATCACAGAATTAATAAAAGGTAATACTATTTTAAGAATATTTATTGTTGTGGGTTATTACCTTACAGTTTTACAAGATTCCTTATATGAGCACTAATTAGAGTTGACTCAACTTCTGAGTTTAAGTATATTACAAAGAGCTGTACTTTTTTTAAAATATTCTTTTAACTCAGAGGCAGAGCGCTTGCCTAGAATGCGTGAGGCACTGGGTTTGATTGGAGGAGCCCATTTACCACATAAAAATAAACAAATAAAATTAAGGCATTCCGTCCATCTAAAACTACAAAATTTTTTTAAAAAACGTTTTTTTTAGTTGTAGATGGACACAATCTTTTATTTATTTATTTGTGTGTGTATGTATTTATTTATTTTAATTTTTAGTTGTAGTTGGACATGATACCTTTATTTTATTTATGCATTTACTTTTTATGTGGTGCTGAGGATCGAACCCACCCAAGGCCTCTCACGTGATAGGCAAGCGCTCTACCGCTAAGCCATAACCCCAGCCCCTACTTATTTATTTTTATGTGGGGCTAAGGATGGAACCCAGTACCTCACACGTGCAAGACAAACACTCAACCACTGAGCTACAACCCCCACCCACAAATAGCTAGCTCTATTTTTAATAGGAAAAAGCTATCTCCTTGGGAAGTCTATAACCACTGGGAATAGAGTCTTAATTTTCAAATCGAGAAGCTCAAATGTTCTCTTATACTCTTATAATTCCTTTAAATAAAGAAAATGCCTGGTATCTCCTACAGATAAAAATACAACAACTTAAAGTCATAATTACTAATAGTACACACCACTTAGAATGCGTTATACAAAGACACCCATTAACATGTTTCTTCAGCACATTTTCTCCAAGAAAACCAACCCTGTAACAGTTTCTTAAACATCTATCACATATAAGAGATTTAACATAAAGTGCCAACTAACCTTATCTTCATTTTGTAGTTTCACATCATATTTGTGAGGCAGAAATTTTGGAGGAGCCCATTTCCTTTCTCCCTTTTTTAATGAAGTAGGAAGTTTGCGTGGAGATCTACGTGCTCTGTCATCTAGTCAAATAAACAAAAATTCATGAAAAAGCTTGTTGTTTTAATTCTAGTCATCCATTCATTAACAATAATCTTACACCTATTCTGCACCAACACTGGGTGAGGTGGCCCAAAGATGAATCATTATCTCTTTACCTCAAGGAGTTAAAGTCTATAAGAGGATAAATAATTACAATACTAATTAAATACTATAATAGAGGTTGGTTTTCACACAGGTGATTTTTTAAAAACGCACATCTAGTTCAAACAAAATTTCTTCTTTGAGCTGGGCATAGTGGTTAATATATATATACAATAGAGAATAGAGAAAACTTGAGTCTGAAAGGCAGGCATGAAAAACCCAAAATATGTCTTGTTCAGAGATACAGACTTACAGTACAGTAAAAATCGGACTAGTGGTAAACTGAGGCTAGATTTTAAAAAGATTCATACACCATTAAAGAGACTATAATTTGTCTTGTGAGCACTAGGAAATCAAAGTTTTAGGTTTTTTATTTTTGTTTTGAAAGTTTTGGGGATTGAACCTAGGAGCACTCTACCACAGAGCTACATTCCCAGCCCTTTTTATTTTGAGACAGGTTTTGCCAACTTGACAATTTGCTTAAACTTGCAATCCTTCTGCCTTGGCCTCCCAAGTAGCTGGGATTTCAGAAATGAGCCATTACCCAGCTCAGAGAAGAAATTTTGTTTTAACTAAATGTGCATTTTTAAAAATCACCAGTGTGAAAAAATTTAAGAAAACAATTTCAGCAATTACAAGATGAATAAAATGAGAAGGTAAGGCTGAAAATAAGGAAATCAGAAGACACAATGCCAAATATCTGAATTAATATAAATGAAATGGAGAATGAAAGAGTCAAGAGGCATTTAGGAGTCGGACCTGGTGTTAATTACAGGTAGGAATGTTAAAGGTTTCCAAATTTTCTGCCTTTCAGACCAAGTACATGGTGGTGTCATTAACTTAAAGGAAGAGAGAAGAGCAACAAAAGGAAGAGAGAAGAGCAGGATTCTTGTTAAATTGCCTTGAGGAGACAAAAATGAGATGGTCAATTTAGCTTTATATGTGCTGCATTTGAGTTGCCTGTGGGACCATACAAGTTGAAGATCAGGCCTGAAGTTACTATACAAGTCTGACCTAGTAAGTCTGACCTTGGGAATCATCAGCCTACCTACAGATCAGAGTTTAAATTGGGCATCACTGATAGAGAACAGTATGTAAAATAAAAAATGAAAAGACAAAGATAGAACCCTCTGGGAAAAAATCCAAGGAATGGCAGGGGCAAAAAAAAAAAAGGAAAAGGTAAAGAAACAGAGTAGTTGAGGAACTAGGAGACAGTGTATAAAATAATATAAAAGATGTGAGAGCAACCATCAGTGTCAAATATAACAGAAATGTAAACCAGACCAAGAAGCAATCTCCAGATTAAACAATCAAGAAGCAGCTGGGCATGGTGGCACACACCTAGAATCACTGCAACTCAGGAGGCTGAGGCAGGAAGATTGCAATTATAAGGCCAATCTCAGCAATTTAGCAAAGCTCTTAGCGATATAGAGAGACCCTGTCTCAAAATTATAAATAAAAAAGGCTGGGAATGTAGCTCATTGGTAAAATGCCTGGGTTCAATACCCAATAACAATACCACCACCACCAACAAAAGAGATTACTTGTAACCTTATTTTAGCCATAAAATGACACAATTTAGACCACAACAGCATAAGGAATAAACTGATGGTCAATAAGTAGCGATAACATTCTCAGATTTGATGGATACTACAGTTTTGTAATAAACCATCCCTTTAAAAAAATCCCCAAACTGTAGATTTGTGAGCATTAATAACACTGAATAAATATACAGGTTTGTTTGTTTTAAAAAAGAACATTGACTTGAATGGAAAGAAAACAAGATGATCAAGAGAGACATGTTATTCTTTTTAGAAAATGAGACTTTATTAATAATAAGTTGAGAATAAGAATAAAAGTTAACCCAACTCCTTGAGAAAGAACAAATACATTTCAAAGGACAAGTGTTTTGGCCAAGAGAAGAAAAGAGAGTCCCTCTTACTATGATAAGAAAGAATACAAAAATTCATGATGATATTAAGAACACAAAGCTAGAGCTGAGGATATAGCTGAGTGGTAGAGGGCACCTGCCCAGCATGCACAAGGCCCTTCTCCCAACAGGAAGGAAGGAGAGGAAGAAGGACACAAAGTTGAGACATTTCTGGCCAATACATTATTGTTTTCCCCATAAGTAGAAGCCAGTGTCATCTGATGAGAAAATACTATTGGTATTAGAATTTGTCTTTCATTCCTGTGGAAATTCGAATAATTTTTTCCAGAATATGTCATAACATTAATTCCTTAGCTGAATAATAGCAAATGACATTAGATCTCAATAATTAAACCACAAAAAAACAATAAAAAATTCAACGGGTGGAGATGTGGCTTAGTAGTAGAACACTTGACTACCATGCATGAGGCCCCGGGTTCAATCTCCAATACTGCCAAAAAAAGAAAAGTCAAAGCCTAAAACTTGGGGCTCCTGGTACACAATACTTCAGGCATAAAATGAGTGTAATATATTATTGGTATGCTAATGATCTGATTCTAGAAATGTCAATTCCTTACCAAAACAACCTCAGGGGATTGTAACTAATGCTCATGTTATAAAACTTCAGTATCAAAAAGAGAAAAACCAGGGCTGGGGCTGTAGCTCAGTGGCAGAGCACTTGCCTTGCACATGTGAGGCACTGGGTTCAATCCTTAGCACCACATAAAAATAAACAAAGATATGCTGTCCATCTACAACTACAAAAAAGTATTTTTTTTTTAAAGAGAAAAACTAGAAAACATAAACATAAGCATTTATAAAACAGACCAGAAAACAAAATTGAAATATCAACAAGTAGGGAAGGCCAGCTACAACTACAACTAGTTATACTTCCTTTAGACTACAGGGAAGTACGTATATAAAACCATCTGCATATATCTAAAACATCTGGAACCAAAACACAGAATTAATGACACAATATGACACTCCAAAGTAACAACATTCTAATCCAATATCTGTAAGAATTGAATAATATGGCAAAATTATTTAATACTGACAGTCATGGATTAACACACACTACATTGTGCACATGCTTTTGGAAACAAAAGGAACATAATTCAGCTAAATTCCTTATTTATATAATTTTTTTAAATGAAGATCTGAGACTGAATAATTTTCTCAGTGGGCAGTGTTCCTGTTCTTCAACTTTCAAAAAATTATTGTTAGAGCCTCCAGATACCTAAACTTATTTTTAGACATTGTTGTATTTCAGAATTATAGCAGCTCCCATGAGAGGAACTTAGATCACAGAAAACAAAAGGAAGGCCCTTAAATCACCACACTGGTTTGCACTGTGAGAAACAGTAAGGTTTAGAATAAAATTTGCCCCTCCTACTTTGATCACCCCAATTTACACATAAGCACATATTTTCAACTTTAAGAGTAAAGGATATCATGCTAAGTGAAATAAGCCAATCCCCAAAAAACAAAGGCCAAATGTTCTCTCTGATATGTGGATGCTAACACAATAAGGGTGCAAGGAGGAAAGAATAGAAATTCACCAGATTAGACAAAGGGAATGAAGGGAAGGGAGAAGGATGGTAATAGGAAAGACAGTAGAATTAATCGGACATAACTTTCCTATGTTCATATGTGAACACAGGACCAGTGAAACTCCACATCATGTACAACCACAAGAATGGGATCCTAATTAGAATAAGTTATACTCCATGGATATATAAAATGTCAAAATACACTCTACTGTCATGTATATCTAAACAAATCAAAACGAGACTCTGAAACACAGATTAAATTTTCTAATATTTATCAGCTCCTTCAGTATCCCTAAATATTGGGCAATATTTGTGCAAGTTTTTATTGAAGTAAAATGTATGTAACACTATATTTTCATATTTTACCATTTTTAAATGTACAACTCACTGCCATTAGTTATATTCACAATGTTTTATATATATATATATATATATATATATATATATATATATATATATACACACAAAAAGGAGGAAAAGAAAGAATACTTTGCCATTTTGAGTAGTTAGGGATTAGTACTTAGCAACTATAGGAAATTGACTTCCCAATGGTATTAATTATTTAGGGAGATGTAAATCTTCATTCATTTTGTGATTATTTTGGTTATATTCTGAATGATAAATGAACAAGATCATGTCTATATAAAAAAAAGACTTTTTTTTTTTTGGTACTGGAGATTGAACTCAGGGACACTCAACCACTGAGACACACCCCCAGCCCTATTTTGTATTTTATTTAGAGACAGGGTCTCACTGAGTTGCTTAGCACCTCACCATTGCTGAGGCTGGCTTTGAGCTTGCGATCCTCCTGCCTCAGTCTCCAGAGCCACTAGGATTACAGGCATGCACAACCTCGCCTGGCTACAATTACATCTTTGTTTTTGGAGAACTCTAAAAGATGTATGTATAATAAAATGACAGGGTCCCATGACAAAGCTGGCATCATACATACTATCCCTCCGTCCTTCATCCTCTTTTACTACTGCCTCCTTCTTCTGATGGTCCTGAGCAATTTGACTGGAATTCTCTTTGTCACTTGATGGAGAATCACAGGCACCATCAGATTTCTTCTCAGTGGCCTCTTCGTCTACTTTCTCTAAAGGATGAATCTTCACAATCTTCACTTTGAGCATTTTCTCCTTCCCAACCTATAAAGAAGAGAAAAATCAGATATCTAATAAATAAGAACTAGAAACCTAAAGAGTTGGACTATCAGAAAAGAAGAGTTGAACAATATGATCCAATATAGATTCTTCCCAACAAAAATTCACTAAAATTCTGAAGCATCAAAGCACTATGAACTTTTAGTTCTCAGACTTCTAAGCTGAAAAGTAAAATGATCATGACCTAGTTCATAATTCATGTACAAATGTGCGGTCAAAGGGCTATCACTGCGACAGCTGAAAATATGCATAAATATAGTTCAAGAACTTCCTTTGTACATCAGCGTTGGGGTAGTGGGAACTGAACTCAAGGATCTATACATGCTAGGCAAGCACTACCAGAGCTGCAACCTCCACTCTGTATTTTTTACTTATTTATTTTGGTACCAGTGAGTGAACCCAGCAGCGTTTAACCACTAAACCATGTCCCCAGCCCTTCTGCACTTTTTATTTAGAGACAGGGTCTCAATGAGTTGCTCAGGGGCTAAGTTGCTGAGGCTGGCTTTGAACTTGTGTTCCTCCTGCCTCAGTCTCCCAAACCACTGGGATTATAAGCATGTGCCACTGTGGCCAGGTCACTCTTTATTTTTGAGACAGGGTCTCACCAAGTTGTGGAGGCTAGTATACAAAAAGGCAAATTATAATTTTATATATTGATCTTATATCCTTTTTTTGTGGCTCTGGGGGTGAACCCAGAAAGCATTCTGCCTATGAGTTACTTCTCTAACCCTTCTTTTAACTGTATTTTGAGACAGGATTCCACTAAATCAGACTGATCTCAAAATTGCCACCAGAAGCTCGGATTATAGGTGTGTCCCACCAGACCTGACTTAAGACAGGTAGTTAATGCTATGTTTCCTTTATGTACCACTTTAGCAACTGCTTACAAATTTTAATATTGTTTTCATATTCGGTTCAGAATATTTTATTCTTTAAATTATAAATTAAAAGTACATAGTTTCCAGTTATTTAAAGATTTCCAGACAATTGATATTAATTTATAATTAATTAAATACTTTTTCTTTCTTTTTTTGGGGGGGATTAACAGGGTGCTTAGCGACATCCTCCAGCCCTATTTATTCATCATTTCGAGACAGGGTCTTACTAAGTTGCTTAGGGCCTCACTAAATTGCCTGAAGCTGACTTTGAACTTGAAATCCTCCTGCCTCAGCCTCTTGAGCCGCTGGGATTATAGGCTTTCACCACTATACCCAGAATGACTTGAATCCTTTCAAACTTGAGACTTCATTATGGCCTAAAATATGGTCTGTTTTGGTAAATTATTCACTTAAAGGAATGTGTACTCTGATGTTTTTAAGGTTTTTGTTTTTGTTTTTGTGTGTGTGTGTGTGTGTGTGCAGTGCAGTGCTAGGGATGAAATCCAGGGCCTCACCTATGCTAGGAAAGCCCTCTGCGGCTAAGCTACATCCCCAGACAGGTAAAATATTTCATATTGGTAATTTATAATGGCTTATAGTGGTATTCCAAGATTTTCTATCGTCGTTGCTCTTTAGTTTATTTTACGATACAGGAACTTGAACCCAGGGCCTTCATGGACCTGGCGCTCACTCTGTTGCTGGGCTATGTCCCCAGGCCTGTTTTTATTTCTTGAGACAGGTTTTTGCTGAGTTGCCCATGCTGGTCTCAAATTCCAGCCTCCCAAACTGCTAGGACTACAAAGTATTACTACTTTGCAACACCTTTTCCATCAATTTTTAGGAAGGGGAAGTGCTGAATCTCTTAACTATAGATGTGATTTCTCTTTTTTTCCTTATACTTCTGTCCAATTTTGTTTCATGAATTTTGAAATTCTATTATGAGGCATAAAGAGTAAGGACTACAAGCCAAGCATGGTAGAGAATGCCTATAGTCCCAGTGACTTGGGAGGTTAGGGCTGGAGAATCACAAGTAAGAGGCCAGTGGGGCAACAAAGCCAGACTGTCTCAAAATAAAAAAACAAAGGTGCACTGTAATCCCACCTTTGGAATTAATCCTGTAATCCCAGTTACTTGGGAGGCTGAGGCAATAGGATCTTGGGTTCAAAGCCTGCCTCAGAAACTTAGTGAACTCTAAGCAACTCAGTGAGACCCTGTCTCTGAATAAAATATAAAAAAGTGCTCAGGATATGGCTCAGTGGTTAAGCACCTCTGGGTTCAATCCCCAGTACCGCCCCCCAAAAAGAATAAAAGATGACAGTGTTGTTTAATTACAATGTTTTAAACACTACACCCAGAATATATAAAGAACATTAAAAAATAAGAGAACAATACATTTCTTTAAAGGGACAAAAAAAATTTTTTTTTTAATTTTTAATTTTATTTATTTATTTTTTTTTAGTTCTCGGTGGACACAACATCTTTGTTGGTATGTGGTGCTGAGGATCAAACCCGGGCCGCACGCATGCCAGGCGAGCGCGCTACCGCTTGAGCCACATCCCCAGCCCCAAGGGACAAAAATTTAAACCAACATTTTACCAAAGAAAATGTGAATAAATGGATGGCAAGCACAGAAGATACTCAGTATTATCAGCTGTTACAGGCAATGCAAATTGAAACCACAAGTCAAACCATCTATTAAAAATGCTAAATTTTTTTTTTTAATTTAAAAAACTGGCTGGGCATGGTCACACACACCTGTTATCCCAGCCACTTGAGAGGCTGAGACAGAAAGATCACAAATTCAAGATCAGCCTCAGCAACAAAGAGAGGCCCTAAGCAACTATCTCAAAAGCTCCTATCTCAAAAGATAAAAAGGGTTGGGGATGTTACTCAGTGGTACAGTGCTCTTGGGTTAAATCCCCAGTACCCAAAATATAAATAAAAATAAAACTGATTATACCAAGTGTAGACACCAATGTGATGAAATGGAACTTTCACAAACTGATGGTAGAAATTTAACAGTTTTAACCATCTCCGTAAACAGTCTGGCAATTTCTTTACAGTTAAACCTATCGGGTGCTGGAGTTGTGGCTTAATGGTAGAGCACTTGCCTAGCATGTGAGGCACTGGGTTTGATTCTCAGCACTGCATATAAACAAATGAATAAAATAAAGGTTCATCGACATCTTAAAAAAAAACACAAAAACCTATGAGTACTATTGTGACCTAGTCATTCCACACCTAGGTATGTATCCAAGAGTTAAAGTAATCTAGATTCATACAAAGACTTGTACACATATCTTCATAGCAGGTTTGTTAGCCCAAACAAACAAAGTATCTATCAATGGGTGATGGATAAACAAACTGTAGTCTACACATAGAATGGAATACTAAGCAATAAAAAGCACAACCTTTGATACCACAGTAATAAGGATGCACATTAAAATAATTTTGCTGAATGTAAAAAAGCCAGACCAAAAGGAAAAAAAAGGATACAAAATGATCCATTTATATAAAACTCTAGAAAATGGTCTGACAGAAAACAGAACAGTGATGGGGACCAGGAAGGAAAAGGAAGAGATTACAAAAGAGCATAAGTACAGTTTTAGGTATGAGGAGTATATTCCCTATAGTGATTACAGCAAGTTTCACAGGTGTAAAATGTAAAAAATGTCTCCAAATCTGTCAAACTGTACATTTTATTTATTTGACATGGGATTTCACTATGGTATCCAGTGTAGTCTCAAAACTCCTGGGCTCAAGCAATCCTCCTGCCTTAGATTCTCAGTAGCTAGAACTAAAGCACATACCACTACATCCAGCTTATAAGTTTTTAAATATGCGCAGTTTATAACATGTCAATTGTAATGCAATAAGGATTTTGCATGTGTGTATTTTACTGGGAATTAAACCCTGGGCCTCATGTATGCTAGGCAACTGCTCTACCCTCATGAGCTATATCCCCAGCTCCCTTATCTTTCTTTCTTTCTTTTTTTTTCTGAAACAGTATGCCACTAAGTTACCTAGGCTGGCCTCCAACTTGGGATCCTCCGGCCTCAGCCTCTTCAGTCACTGGGATTACAGGCAGTCACCACCATGCCTAGCTTCAATAAAGCTATATTTTAAATCAACTATAATTGTGTATTCAAACCTAGAAAAAAAAACTAACATTCAGAATACAGTGCCTTGCCAAACGTGTCACAGATAAAAAGTAACCAAAAGCCAGGTGTAGTAACACATGCCTGAAATTTCAATGGCAGGGAGGCTGAGGTAGGAGCATCATAAGTTCTTGTTATTACTTTATTCATCTTATGTTTACAATATTATCCCACTATAGTTTCCATTTGATTTCCTTTATTACAAATGAGCTTAAACATTTTTTCATGTTTATAAGCAAATATCCCCCTAATTATTTCCTCTCTTGCCTCAAACATTTCTTCTTCCATCTTGCATATATATGTGCAGAATATTTTCCTTCTGCCACTTCAAATCCATCACCATTCTTCTCCACACTGTTCTATGCCTACATGGGCTGACCTTACTGGTTCATACCAAAAGGCTCCCTCCCTTGCTCTCCAGATTTGGTTGAGTTCAGTCCCTGGTAAGTATTAGGAGAAAGTCAGACAGTAGAAGAAAAGTGAGGTTAGGGTATTATTTACTCCCTTAATGCCTCCCTAGCAGGTTGGTTAAATCTCATTACAAAGTACTCTTTGACAACTAAGCTACTCTTCAAATTCCTGTCATTTTCTCCCTCTCCTTGCTTCCTTGGGGTTTAGAAATGGAGTCTGCCCACTGGCTGATAGTTTCCTTGTCCCTGATTGGACTGTTGTATGTTGTCAACAGCCCTTTATTAAACTCAATTCAATTATATCATTTAAGTATGATATCTGTTTCTTGCCAGGACACTAATAAAAAATATGTGATTAAAACCCTCCTTCGAGGGCTGGGGTTGTGGCTCAGTGGTAGAGTGCTCGCCTAGCATGCACGAGGCACTAGGTTCGATCCTCAGCATCACATAAATGTAAAATAAAGATATTGTATCCACCTAAAACTTAAGAATAAATATTAAAAAAATTTTCTTTAAAAACCCTCCTGCAGGGACTGAGGATATAGCTCAATTGGTAGAGTGCTTCCCTCACATGCACAAGGCCCTGGGTTCAATCCCAAGCATCAAAAAACAAACAAAAACTCACCTGCAATCCCAAACATTACAAATGAAAAAGAAGCAGCTACAAAATACAGGAAATCAGAATCAATAAGTGAAACAAGAAAGGAGGAAGACTTTGGAACCATAAACACGAGTTTGAATCTTGACCTCATACTTACTGGCTGTTTTGTAGCACATATAATTGCTGAACTGGCTATTTAAGCTAGTCCCCCCCACTCTCTCCTCTGTCCGGCCAGCCTGACTTTTCAAGAAAAAAGGCAAATACTCATTTTCTCAGCTTGCAGATAAAGATGGATACATAAGGCAAGACCTAGCCAATGACATGTAAAGATAAAGGGGACACTTTATCTTTTATTCTTCTGGAAAATCTTCTTATCCTACTTAGACAGGCATTACTTTGAGGACTGTGGATGTAGCTCAGTGATCGAGTACTTCCCTAGCAAGGTCAAGGCCCTGGGTTCAATCTTCAGCAATGTCAAAAGAAAAAAAGAAAGAAAAGCATTTCCTCACTCTGAATACAGTCACAATTTCACACCAAGAGGCAATAAAGTTAAAGACCAAAACTCAACACACTGAAAAAAGCAAGAGAGCTTGACAGTATCATCCAGCCTCTACACCAACCTTGGAACTGTCTACTTCTAAGACTTTTTAATCTAACATAATCAAATGCCTTTATTGTTTAAACCACTACTACTCAATGTGTGGTGCCCAATGTAACGGCATCATTACCATCCTACAGCTTGTTAGAATAGCTACTTTAGGACCTGTTCTAAACCTCCTGAAGTCTCAAGCATGGACCTAAGAATATATTTTCAGAACCTCTCTAAAGCAATTTTATTTAGGCTATTTGAGAAGGAATAACCACCAGTTCTCTTATCTGATACATATCAACCTAAATAAGCTATTTGAAATTTTAAAACTTTAAAATTTTTTTTAAATTTAAATTCTTAGCCAGGTGTGATAGCATATGCCTTTAATCCCAATGGTTCAGGAGGCTGAGGCAGGAAGATTGCAAGTTCAAAGCCAGCCTCAGCAAGTTAGCGAGACCCTAAGCAATTCTGTGAGACCCTGCCTCTAAATAAAATATAAAAACAGGCTGGCGGGGGTGCTGTAGTTGTAATATAAATGAAATTAACAGGCAGTGGTAGCGTGCTTGCCTAGCATGTGTGTGGCACCAGGTTCGATCCTCAGCACCACATAAATATAAATAAATAAGTAAAATAAAAATATTGTGTCCATCTGCAACTAAAAAAAAAATTTTTTTTTAAATGGGCTGGGGATGTGGCTCAGTGGTTAAGTGCCCCTGGGTTCAATCCCCAGTACCAAAAATAATTTCAATTGTTTAAAAAAATTTTTTTAAATGGCTGGGGATGTAGCTCAGTGGGAGAATGCTTACCTAGCATGTATGAGGTTCTGTGTTCAATCCCTAGTAGCAAGGTGAAGAAAAGAATTATATAAAGATTGCTTTAATGTTAGGTATTGCTTCTTTTTTTTTACTTGCAAAAAATAATTTATTGTATTTATGTCTATCATGTCACTTATTCTTTCTTCTAACAATATTTTTATTTATTTATTTATTTATTTTTATTTTTTTATTGTTGGTTGTTCAAAACATTACATAGTTCTTGACATATCATATTTCACACTTTGATTCAAGTGGGTTATGAACTCCCATTTTTACCCCGTATACAGATTGCAGAATCACATCAGTTAAACATCCATTGATTTACATATTGCCATACTAGTGTCTGTTGTGTTCTGCTGCCTTTCCTATCCTCTACTATCCCCCCTCCCCTCCCCTCCCCTTTTCTCTCTCTACTCCCTCTACTGTCATTCATTTCTCCCCCTTGTATTATTTTTCCCTTTCCCCTCACTACCTCTTGTATGTACTCTTGTATAACCCTGAGGGTCTCCTTCCATTTCCATGCAATTTCCCTTCTCTCTCCCTTTCCCTCCCACCTCTCATCCCTGTTTAATGTTAATCTTCTTCTCATGCTCTTTGACCCTACTCTGTTCTTAGTTACTCTCCTTATATCAAAGAAGACATTTGGCATTTGTTTTTTAGGGATTGGCTAGCTTCACTTAGCATAATCTGCTCTAATGCCATCCATTTCCCTGCAAATTCTATGATTTTGTCATTTTTTAATGCAGAGTAATACTCCATTGTGTATAAATGCCACATTTTTTTTATCCATTCGTCTATTAGGTATTGCTTCTATAATAGTTTTCTTGTAGTTATTTGGGCTGTAAAATTAAAAAACAAGTTTAAGTAGAAAAGTCTATTCTCATCATGGTTATAGTAACAACTTGAACTCAAGGGTGCTCTACTAGTGAGCTACACTCCAGCTCTTTTGTTTTTTATTTCGACACAGGATCTCACTTGCTGAGGCTGGCGTACCAACTTGTCATGCTCCTACCTTAGCCTTCTGAGTCACTGGGATGACAGGTGTGTGCCACCATAACCAGCTGTTGAAGTTTTTGAAAGTCTTTTAAAGTATGAAAAAATTACCAAAAAAAAACACCCAAGATAACAGAATTACCAAAAAGAAAGAAAAAACAAAGAGAAAGCAAAGATAGATATAGTGGTACCCAGGTAGCAATAATCACAGAATTAAATATTCCCACATAGTCAGTGTGATTCTAAAATTGGTCCTCAGAATACCTGATATCATATGAACCAGACATCAAACATAATACAATTTTAGACATGTACAAATAGGCTCTGTAGTCTATGACAGAAGTTTCAATTCTGAATTAGTGGATGAAATCATAGGAGAGACAGACACTTACCTCAAAGTCACACTCTTCACCCACAGCGTATTTGGTCATGATTTCCAGCCATGCAGTGTCTACTAACTTCTCCAGGGAGGCGGTGTTGTGGTGAACCATTTCCAGAACAAGTTTCTCGTACCAGGTTGGAAATTCCTCCTTCAAACTAAGTAAATATGCTGTTAGCTACTAAAAACTGAAGAAAACCTATCCACATATTTAATTTAATTCAGGTCAATTCAAACTTTAAGACTCAGCTTTTGAGAGCAGTATTAGAAGCACAGCAAAGCAAATATTTCTTGAGCAAATACATGTACAGCACAGGAGAATACAAAGATTAAAAAACATACAGTTTACAGGGGAAAAACTGAAAAACTTTTTACAGTAGTTCTGTCAATTGATCTACATAGGTTAACTTTCTTATCTATAAATGAAAATAACAGGCACATTATAGGTAAGTTTAAATATTTTCCCATTAATTGGTTTTTGGAGAATGAATTTCTTTTCAGCTATGAATTTATTCTTACCCTTTATCCAGTTTTTAGTTAGGAAGACTGGATTATATTTGTGATATTTCTCAGTTGCATCCATTCATTCCCTACCCCCTACCCCCAGGACTGGGGATTAAACCTATAAGATTTCTAGAACCAAGCCACACCCGAAGTTCACTTTATTTTGAGACAGGGTCTATGTTGCTAAAGCTGGCCTCAAATTTGCAATCTTTCTGCCTCAGCCTCCCACATCACAGGGATTATAGGCATGCACCACCACGCCTGGTTCACTCATTTACTTCTCACAATACCTTTTGAGGTATCTAGAATTTTCATTTTATGGATAATGAAATTATATCAGGAATAGTTAATACGTTGAAACCATGACTTAAATCCCAAAGCCTTTACAAGTAAAACAATGAGGTACCACTGTTCAGTTATAAATTAGCAAAAAATACTTAACTATCATACCCGATATGGCAACTAAACACTGCTGATGGCCTAATTTTTCAACCCTTTTAGAAAGCAACTGGATAATACTCATCAAAACTAACATATACTTTAAGATACTCACTGCTGGATTCTTTTTTTTTTTTTAATTTTTTATTTTTTAGTTGTTGTTGTCAATACCTTTATTTATTTATTTTATGTGGTGCTGAGGATCGAACCCAGGACCTCACATGCACAAGACGAGTGCTCTACCACTGAGCCACAACCCCAGCCCCCACTGCTGGATTCTTTTAGCAGAAAATGGGAAGCAACCTTAATGGACAGTTATTAGATATGCAATTTTGACCAGATAATTTAATATTTATTCCAAGGTTTGTAGTTTTGGGGGGATTAGGAGTGGGGGATGAGAACATTAGTGCAAATGCCAGTATTAGGTTTGTTTTGTTCTGCTTTTTTTTGGTAGTAGTGCTGGGATGGAACCCAACGCATGCTAGGCAAGTGATTTGCCACAAAACTACAACTGCAGACCAGTATTAGGTTTTGTGTTACCATGATACAATGTGATATATAAGAAATATTCTGCCAGTAGCTCAAGAGGCTGAGACAGGAGGATTGAAAGTTCAAAGCCAGCCTCTGCAACAGCGTGTGCTAAGCAACTCTGACCCTGTCTCTAAATAAAATACAAAATAGGGCTAGATATGTGGCTCAGTGGTTCAGTGCTCCTAAATTCAATTCCCGGCACCAAAATAAATAAATAAAATAAGAAGTATTCTGCATCATTCTATGCGATTCATAACTACTGACTTCTATACTGTATCTATTACCATACTCTTACAATGAATTAATCCACCAAGGTATCTACTATACTACAATCACGATCAATATGTTCCAGTTTCCCCGACTTTGTTAAGGTGGTTGGCTACCTCTGTCCTCTTCCCAGCTTAATCAACCTTCCAAGATGTTTTCAGATTTCCTTAATTCCAAGAGGCTTTTCCTGGCCCCTGTAAATTCACTCTCTTTCCATTAAACTCAGGTTTCAAGCTCCATGGTCTATGGCTAGTTATTTCTGGAGAGTGAGGCTGGACAATAATGTTCAGATTCCTTTACTCCATGTCATACACATTTTTTAAAAAATATTTATTTTTTAGTTATAGGTGGACACAATATCTTTATTTTATTTTTATGTGGTGCTGAGGATTGAACCCAGTGCCTAATGCACTCGAGGCAAGCGCTCTCCCTCTGAGCCACAATCCCAGCCCTCATACACATTTTTATAACAAGTGTGTGTTACTTCCTTTTTTCTTCTTGTTTTTCTTTTTTTTTTTGGGGGGGGGGGCAGTGACAGAACTTGAACCTGGGGTCTTGCACATGCTAGAGGTAAGCACTGTACCACTAAGCTACACTCCCAGCCCACGCATTACTTTTGTAATTAGAAAGAATTTTTACTTTGAATAAAATTTCATAACCTCCTAATCTTTTTCAATAATTTCTCCATCCACCTCCTATATTTTAATAGCAATCAAATCAAGTAAAACATCTCCAAAGTACATTCTATAGAACTTCCCTCAGATGTAACAGGTTCCAAGGTCAAATAAGTTTGAAACCCATTATATAAAACCTAGTGAAAAGTATCTCTACTGCAGGTCTTCTAAATATCTTTAATATGCTAATGTGTATGCCTTTCTGGGCTGGGGATGTGGCTCAAGCGGTAGCGCGCTCGCCTGTCATGCGTGCAGCCCGGGTTCGATCCTCAGCACCACATACAAACAAAGATGTTGTGTCCACCGAGAACTAAAAAAATAAATAAATATTAAAAAAAAAAAAAAAAGTGTATGCCTTTCTGAGAAAGTCTGTAGTGGCTTTTTAAACTCTTTTTAGGAAGAAGCAGAGAGTTAATCTCGTCCTTTTTATTCCTGCCATGCATTCCTGCGCCAAGCATCCCTGCATGACTACTATTCCAGTTACAAAGATTCCCCTCCTTCTCTAACTCTTTCTACATGCTGCTTCTAGACAATCTTTTCAAGCCTAACTACTATCATAGGCCTCCCCTATTCAAATACTGGTATCCTCCACTGTTTGCTGAATTAAATACAAATAAACATTTTCTATCTTAAACATTTTGGTACAAAGTATCCAACCTTTCACCAGTGCAGGGACCCAGCAACTCAGGAGGTTGAGGCAACAGGATCACAAGTTCAAGGCTAGCATTGGCAACTTAATGATAACAAGCTCAAAAAAAAAAAAAAAAAAAAGATGGGATATGCCTCAGTCGGAGAATGCCCCGTGGGTTCAATCCCCAGTACCTCAAAAGTAAGTAAATAAATACAAGTGTCAAATGCTATCTTCATAGGGCTGGGGAATGAGGCTTAGTAGCAGAGAACTTACCTACTATGTGCAAAGCCCTGGGTTCAATTTCCAGTACCACCAAAAAAAAAAAAAAAAAACCCAAGTTACCTTCTTCATGAAGTCTTGTGAAGTTTTCCTAATATCTCCAGGTTAGTATCTTTAGTCTAAATTCTATCTGACCTTTACTTCTTTGTATGTAGGGAAACAATTTATTTTTCATTTTGAAACTGAATCTTCATATTTGTTCCTAACAGCTTTTTTTTTTTTTTTTTTTTTTGGTACCAGGGATTGAACTTGGGGCCACTTGACTACTGAGCCCCAGACCCAGCCCTATTTTGTATTTTATTTAGAAACAGAGTCTCACTGAGTTGCTTAGTACCTTGCTTTTGCTGAGGCTGGCTTTGAACTCCAATCCTCCTGTCCCAGCCTTCCGAGCCAATGGGATTACAAGTGTGCACCACCGTTCTGGCTCAGAATAGCTTTTTACTAAACAGATTCACTGGGTTTTTCAGGTACATAATCACATTTCCTACAACCATAACATCCTCCTTTATTACTCTTTTTTATCTTTTTGTAGGCTAATGGTGGTATCTTTTATTTACAAAGAATATTTACACACAATTTTCCCAAAAAGTCATCTGGAGAAGGTAGTGTTGTATTTGCAAAAAAAAGTGAGTAATATCTGCTTATTTAATGCAGAGGATTGTGCTATGCACTGTAACCAATTCAAGAATAAGTCAAATATGAGTTCTATCCTTAAGAAGTTCACAGGCTAGCTGGGCACAGTGGCACACACATATAAACCTAATGACCCACAATGCTGAGGCAGGAGGATCACAAGTTCCGAAGCCAGCCTCTGCAATTTAGCAGGACCCTGTTTCAAAATTTTAAAACAAGGGCTGGGGTTGTGGCTCAGTGATAGAGTGCTTGCCTGGCATAAGGGAGACACTGGGTTCAATCCACAGCACCACATAAAAACAAATAAATAAAATAAAGGTATTGCATCCATCTATAACCAAAAAAATTAAAAATAAATAAGGGATAGGGCTGTAGCTCAATCTCCAGTTTCAAAAAAAAGGAGAAAAAAAAAAAAAAAAAAAAACAGTTTGGGCTGGAGTTGTGGCTCAGAGGTAGCACGCTCGCCTAGCATGTGTGAGACACTTGGTTCAATCCTCAGCACCACATAAAAACAATATAAAGATATTGTATCTACCTATAACTAAAACATAAATATTAAAAAAAAAAAAAAAAAAAACATGTTTACAGGCTAAGGCTGATACTGCAGATCAACAGCAGAGTACTTGCCTAGCATGCCCTGGTTCAATCACCAGCACCAGGGGGAAAAAATTACAGTCTTTTATAGAAGTCAGTGGGCCAAATCCAGCATCCTGCTAGTTTTTTTGGTTTGTTTGTTTGTTTGAGTACCAAGGATTGAATCCCAGGGGTGCTTAACCACAGAACCACATTCCCATTCCTTTTTATATTTTGAGACAGGGTCTCGATGAGTTGCTTAGGGCCTTGCTAAATTGGTGAGGCTGGCCAATCCTCCTGCCTCAGCTGCCCTAGGCACTGAGTGAGCCACCAGGCCCTGGCAGAGCTAGTTTTTGTAAGTAATTTTATTATAACACAGCTACTCATTTCTTTATATAATATCTACAGCTGTTTAACAATGTCAGAGTTTAGTTGAGACAAGAGACCATATGGTCCACAAAGCTTAAAATATTTACAAACTGGCCCTTTATAAGATGTTGGCCAACCCCTGGTCTAGCACATTAAATAAGGTGTGTGTCACACACACATACACACACACACACACACAATACAAATAACACTAATCCCAGAGAGAATGTGCCAATAAGCAAAGAAGAGGCACCAGGTTAGACGTCTTGACCAATGAGTCAGTGATAGAGCCACTCATCACCAGGCCCATCACAAAGAGCCCACTAGTATTCAATTACTAAATCCTATGCTCTCCTGCTTGTCTGCTACAAGTCAAGGAGAAATCCAGAAAAAGCACCTATTCCCAATTCCCAAAAGGACTATTTTATCATCCCTAGTTTCTACTTATCTCTTTGTATAACCTATAGCCCAAATTCTGCATATTTTCTTTGAGAGATCATTCAAACAACTAGGCATTTTGAACAGATGAATTTTTTAAGACACCTAATTCACCCTTTCTACTTAAACTGTCCTCAAACTGTTGTCTGTTTTTGACATCTGCTGTAAATATCATCTGAAATTTCAAATGACCACAAAACAAAGAAAACTTTATGCCTTTTTGCTGTTTCCATTTACACTTTTAGGTCACATGAATGCCCCCTGCTTAAGGCCATATTTCCAGAGTATTTACATGGTAAAAGTATAGAGCAAAAACACTCAAAGGCCTGGTAAAACCTAAATAAATATGTATTGTCCCCACTTTGCTACTAGCAAAATACCACGAAGATAAAGGTCCCTGACACTAATACAGTACACTATCATATATATTCCAATTAATGCCTCATATATTTGAAATCAAATACTGCATTAAGAGTTACTATTCCATCCTTTCCTAACAAGGTGAAGATGGGGCCAGAAGGCAGGGCTTCTATTACTTACAGTTCAGCAACTTCCTGTTCTTCTTCCCAGGCCTCCTTGTGTGTTAGCTGACTGCTTCCGGTGCTCTTACACGTCCAAATGCGTTCACTGTACCTTTCCAAGCGGGCTTCATACTCTCTGTTGGCAGCAGCTCAGGAAAACAATATTCAAGTAACAGAGACATCCAATCCATACTCATAAAATAATTATTTATAGAAAAAAAATCTACAATACTATTTCTATAATTTATAGCAGGAAAAAAAGACAGAAATGAAACCAGGGTTTTCAAGTGGCAAGTCCAAAGCAAGATCAGAACTAAAGTACAATTAGAATGATTTATCACATTTTACAAATAAAATATTAGTATTTTAGTATAAACGTCATTTCCTCAATTCAACAAAATTTCATTTCACTTTACAAGGCTCACACAGTACTAAAAATTCCCAAGAAAAAATAGCATATGAAAAAGGAATAGCTGGGAGTAGTGACACACACCTATAATCCCAGCAATTCAGGAGGTTGACAAGAGGTTGAGGCAGGAAGATAGCCAAATTCAAGGCCACTCTCAGCAAGTTAGTGAGGCTCTGTCTCAAAATAAAAATGACCTAATCAGTTTTTACACACTTAACCCGACCCTTCCCAATGTGTGTACGTGTAAGTTATACCCTTGAATTTTGAAAATGTTTTGCTCTGCCAGGCACAGTGGCGCACGCCTATAATCCCGGAGGCTCTGGAGGCTGAAGGAGGAGGATCTCAAGTTCAAAGCCAAATTATTTAGGTTTTACCAAGCCTTTGAGTGTTTTGCTCTATACTTTTACCTTGTAAGTACTCTGAAAATATGGCTTTAAGCAGGGGGCACTGATGGGACCTAAAAGTGTTAATGGAGGATCTCGAGTTCAAAGCTAAGCAATTCAGTGAGACCCGGTCTGTAAATAAAATACAAAATATGGCTGGGTGTGTGGCTCAATGGTCAAGTGTCCCTGAGTCCAATCCTTGCTAACCCCCAAAATAATTAATTAAAACATAAAAAGGACTGGGGATGTGACTCAGTGGTAAAAATGCCCCAGGGTTCAAACCCCAATTCCAAAGGGGGGATAAAAAGGAAAACCAAAATAAAACAAGGCATAGGGATTAAGAGTTTAAGAGGTCAGTGCCAGGGTACAGTGAAAAACACCTGTTCCAGCAACTCAAAAGGTTAAGGCAGGAGGCAGAAGGATCATAAGCTCAAGGCCAGCCTAGAAGATTTAGAAGATTCTCTCAAAATAAAAAATTGATTAAAAGGAGTAGGGATGCTCAGTGGCAAAGGGCCCCAGCCCTCAATCCCAGTTTAAAGAAAGAAAAAAGAATAAGAGCTCAGATGAGTAGCAAGTTTAAGAATCAGTCCACAGGAGGGCATGCCTGTAATCCCAGCAACTCAGGAGGCTAAGGCAGGAGGATCACAAGTTTGAGTCCAGCCTGGGCAACTTAGCAAGACCCTGTCTCGAAAAAACAAAAATAAATAAAAAGGTCTGGGGATATAGCACAGTGGTAAAGTGCCCCTAGGTTCAATTCCCAGTATCAAAAAATAAAATAAATTAAAAAAAATTAGTCTACAGTAAAACAAGATGACCACATTCTCACAGGCAGTTTATAACACTCTTATGCATATACTAATGCATATTAACATAGCATTCCAGGGCTAGGGCTGTGGTTCAGTGGTAAGACACTTGCCTAGCACGTGAGAGGCACTAGGTTCAAACCTCGGCACCACATAAATAAATAAAATAAAGGTATTGTGTCTACCTACAAATAAAATAATATATTAAAAAAAAAAAAAAAACTGCATTCCAGCCTACCTTGGGAACACTTGCTGCTTCCTAGGATTAAAAAATAAATTCTGGGGCTTGGGATATAGCTCATTGGTACAGCACTTGCCTCACATGCATGAGGCCTTGTGTTCAATTACCAGCACTATGAAAATTAAAATCCTAAAAATAACTTTTGACATAATATCCATTTTCATGTTGTCTCCAGTAATAGTACATTTACCAGATTATTTAGTAATTGTCAGTCTCTTCATGAGAGAGAGGGGGAGATATTGGCATAAGTGCCAAATATACTGTAACTTTCCATACCATCCTGACAGAATTCACCATCACTCAGCCACATTCAAATTCAAATGGCAAGTAATGAATTTACTTTATGCACAGCAACAGATGCCATACAAGAAATCAACTAACACTACAACTAGAGAGCTGCTGAGTCAGCTGCCAATCCCTGTACTTTCCAAATGACACATTTTTATGGTGGCTGAAATAAAAGTACTTGAACAGCTCCTTCTATTAATATCAATATTGTCTTCCAATTTACAAGTATTCATTTTTAATGTATAAAGACTTTTTTAGTTTTCCAAGGTTGTGATCAGTAAAAAAGGCAAATGATAGGGACAAACTTACAGGTAATCTGAACTAGCAACCACTTCACTTACTAAAGATCTTTCTCTGAATCTGCCAAAATCCAAGTAATAAATCCAATTTCCTCACCAAGGATGGTGCTAATATGGGAGTGATTAAACATATTACAGTACCAGTAAAAAACAAGAGTCCAACTTTTATAAAATGCTATGGAAACCCAATCACTGAGAATTCATAAAACTAGGATGGGCATGGTGACACATCCCTAAAAATCCCAGTTACATGGGAGGCCAAGGCAGGAAAATCCTAAATCAAGGTCAGCCTACACAACTTAGGGAGACCCTGCCTCAAAAAAGGGGGCAGGGCCTGGGGAGTAGCTCAGTGATAGAGTGTCCCTGAATTAAACATCCAGTACCACAAAAATAATAGTAACAAAAATAGAGTAACAAGCTGGGCACGGTGGTGCAAGCCTGTAACCCCAGCAGCCTAGGAGGTTGAGCCAGAAGGATGGCAAGTTCAAAGCCAGTCTCAGGAACTTAACAAGATTGTCTCAAAGTTTAAAAAAATAAAAAGCACTGGGGCGGGTAAGCAAGCCTCAGGAATGGCGAGGTGCTAAGCAACTTAGTGAGACTCTGTGGTCTAAATGAAGTACAATATAGGGCTGGGACACAGAACCACCTAATGGGGAAGCAGTGTCAGCATCCCAGCTCAGATGCAGGCGAGGGATTAACAAGATAATTCAGTTCTGTTCAGGAGATAAAGGCCATCTGAATTAAACAACAGAGAGAAGTCTGCGAAGCTTGTGCCTTCTATGTCCCCCCCAAAGCCAGTGCCCCCCAGACTGAGTCAAGCCTGTGGCACTAGTGACCACTGGTGGAAGGCTTAGGACATTGGGCCAAGTAGACACAAGTGAGGTCACATGGGGTGTGCCTTAAAGGGGAAATTGGAACCCCTGCCCCTTCCTCTCCCTCTCTGTCCTTCCTGACTAGCACGACTCTGCCACCACCTGTTCCTCACCAGGATGTTTTTTCTTGCCACAGGCCCCAAAGCAGTGGAGCCAGTCGATCACGGACTGAAACCTCTGAGCCTCTGAGCCAAGTTAGTCTTTCCTCCTTTTATGTCCCACCTCTCAATGTTCTGACACAGAATCAGAAAACTAACATCAAGAGGCATAGATAGACACTGGAAGAAAAGAAGAAAGGACAACATCATCACTTGTACATGAGAGTGTTATCTAATTAGAAAATTTCTTAAAACTAAAAAAAAAAAAAAAGCCTCTTAAAATCAATATAATAAATGTCATCTAGGCGGTTAGTTACAAAATTAATGTTTAAACTTTTCTGATAATGAAGAGTCTTTCCAAGCAATAAACAATGTTAGAAAACAGTGAGCATTTCATTTGAAATATGTATATAAAACTACAGATATTGGTGTTTTTTCTAAGTTTACAAAGATTTATACCCTGGCCATGTAAAAGAAAATGTAGAAAATAGGTAAATGTGGGCTGGGCTGTAGCTCATTGGTAGAGTGCCCCCCTCAAATGTGTGAGGCACTGGGTTCAATATTCAGCACCACACAAAAATAAAGACATTGTGTCCAACTACAACTAAAAAAAAAAAAAGATAGGTAAATGTGACACACACTTAACAGAGAAAGAAACACAAATGGCCCAAAAAGGAAAAGGTATTTACTTTCTTCTATAATTAAATAAAGGCCAACAAAAGCAAGAAAAATAAAAGAGGGGTGGGGGCTGGGGATGTAACTCCATGGTCAAGTGCCCCAGTTCAATACCCAGTATCCAAAAAAAGGGGACTGGGAGTATTGCTCAGCGGTTAGTTTTTATTACTATATTTTCTACTGGGTTCAATGCCCAGTAGAAAATATAGTAATAAAAAATAAAATTAAATAAAAAATTAAAGGGGGCTGGGGTTGTAGATCAGCTGTAGAGCTCTTGCCTTACACGTGTGAGGCCCTGGGTTCAATCCTCAGCACCATGTTAAAAAATACTATAGAGCTGGGATTATGGCTCAGCGGTAGAGCACGCGCCTCACACGGGTGGGACCCGGGTTAGATCCTCAGCACATAAAAATAAAGGCATTGTGTTGTGTCCATCTACACCTAAAAAACAAATAAATATTTTAAAATAATAATAATCTATATAGTTTTTTAAAATTTTTTTTAAAAATAAAGGACTGGGGGTGTAGTTTAGTGGTGAAATGCCCAATACTAAATAAATAGATAAAATTAATTTCTTATTATTAGTTATTTTAAAAAGCAGGAATAACATGCCCAGTTCATTCTCCTTAAAAGTAGACTCACGTAAACACAGTATACAAGACTGGTATCACTAAGAAGCCTCAGTGATTTCTCCAGTCCAGCATTTTCTAAACTAGACTCATTGTTACTACTTTCCCTTCTTCCCAAACTGGCTCCTTAACAGACAGTCCCAATCTCACAGATGCTAGTGTCCAACTCAGGCATCAGGAAATCATCCTCATCTCTTCAGTCCCTAACTTCAACCACTAACAGATTTCTCAAGTCAGTCCTTTCGCTCCAATAACCAAACCATTATATAATCCACCCTGCTTTCTCACCTAGTCATAACATTTTCAAACATTTTAAGTAGCCTCTTTTGTAGTAATCTTCTCTGGTCCTTTGTACTTCTCACCCTAAACCCTTATCTTACTCAATCTTTGTTTTTTTTTTATTGTTTTAGAGAAAGAGAATTTTTTTTGATATTTATTT